ACCACCCCTCACTCCCCTCTCGCCCCCCCCCCCCACCCCCCCTCTCTCTTTCTTCCCCCCTCCTCTCACACTCCCCCCTCCCTTTCCCCCCACCGGCGCTCCCCACCCTCCCCCCCTCTCCCCTCCCCCCCCCCACCCCCCCCCCCCCCCCCCCCCCCCCTCCCCCCCCCCCCCCCACCCCCCCCCCCCCCTTCCACCTCTACCTCCCCTTCCCCCTCTTCCCCTCTCCCCTCCCCGCCCCCCCCCCCCCCCCGCGTCCCTCCTCCCCCGCCCCCCCCCCCCCCCCCGTGGATCACCAGCCTCGCTCCTCCACCTGGCCGCCGTTCCCCGCCAAACCTGGGCACGGGCTGGGCGCCCCAGAACTTGTAGCTGGCCATGTCCTTGACGTTCTTGCCGCTCGACGCCAGACCCGTCATGATGTCCTGCAGGTTGAGCTTTTGCAGCGCGGCAGCCTGCTGCTCGGGCGTCGACCCGGCACCGGCAGCCGAGCCGAGCTCCTGAGCGAGCGCAGGGTTCAGAGACATGAGCTCCTGGACCTGCTGCGGGGTCAGACCGCCGATGGCCTTCTTGATGTCCTGCTCGGGGTCGGCGGACGAAGACTTGTTCCCGGTGAGGGCATCCTTGATCTTCTTGCGCTTCGATTTCTTCTTCTTCTTGCTCGCGCTCGCGCTGGCGCCGGCCTCGGCCGCGGGGGTCTCGTCTTCGGCAGCGTCGTCGTCGTCGTCCGACTCGACCTCGGGCTGCTTGGCCTTGGCGTCGGCGATGGTCTCGAGAGCCTCGTCGGCCTCGTGGGTCGCGGGGTCGACGGGCTTGGACTCCTGGGCGGGCATCGTGGCTTGTCGGGAGGGCGGGGATCGGGGTCCCGCGATTTTTTTTTTCTTCTTCTTCTTCGTCCTGGGTGGCTTGGAGGGGGAAGTGGTCTTGCCAAAGGATCGATTCCGTCCCAGCACATGCACTTATTGGTTTTGTTGCAGTTGCGTTGGTGGGGGACACCGATTCACCCGCGCGCCGACGTGGAGCTGACGTGCGGCCATGGCGGGGCTCGTCTGGCGGGGCAACATTTGAACACTTGGCACTGGGCCCAAGGTCGCTAGGTACCTCGCTGTTCACCACCACACCAACTGTCACATGCCTGTCGTCTGCACACCATGTACCTCAAGTGATCTCAAAAGAATGATTGCGTCTACGTACGTCTACGTACGTCTACTTCTTGACTCCTGTACACGGAACAAATTTATGCCTCAATCAAGGTTCTTCCCTGGATATACTGTACCTCCCAAGTCAAAGCACCTCATGACTGCGAGGGCGACTGGCGCAGAGCCCATAATGTCATTATGACCTGCACCCTCTGTTAGCCTTGCCGTAAGCCGACTTGGACTTGGACCATACGCGTCTCACCTCCATACGGGAAGAGCTCCTGCCGAATGATAATGTTCGGCTCAGCCTTGACCGTTGTGACAAAGGCATCCTGTCGAGTGCGCACCGTCCTCTCATCTTTCCACGAGGCGAACAGATCCGGGTCAAGTTCACCCTTGGCAGTCGCATTCGCCGCGACGCGAAACAGCCGGTTGCTTTCCTCGGGAGGAATATCAGCATCGTCGGCGGCAGCGATGATGATCAGGCGCAACCTCGTCTTGGCCAAATGCACCAGACGCTCCAGACGCGCGACGGTGTGCCACTTTTCCCAGATGACGTTCCTCTCCACCCAGTCCAGCAGCCACGGCCACGCGTTGAGGGGTCCCAAGAGATGTAGGACGCCAGCGGCGCGGTAGCCGCGCAGCATCTTGGGGAGCGAGCTGAAGCCAGCAACGAGCACGACACCGGCAAACTCGACGCCTTCGGAGGCATAGCGCTCGGCGACGCCGCTGGCTACTGCCGTGCCGAGGCTCTGTCCGAGGATGACGATGCGGTCGGCAGAGATCCCCGCAACGTTGATGACCCAATCGATCAGGGTAGCCGCATCCTGGATGAGACCGGGTTCAGAGGGTGCACCCGTTGAATGGCCGAAGCCTCTGTAGTCGATCGTCAGAACGTGATAGGACGAGGTGTCTGTGAGTGTGTGGTAGCTGTCTGGCCTGTGGCCCTGGGCGATGTCACCTGCATTCTGGGTTTGTCAGTCGGTCTGGCCGTGAGATGCAACGATTTGGGTTCATACGCCGTGAACTAGAAACTGTCAGTACTCGTCTGTGTTGCATGCTCAGAGTTACCCACGATAGACAACAACGCGAGCTTTGGGGTCCTCTTTGAGCACGCGGAAAGACTCTGTGGCGGTGATGTCTTCGGACACACCCGGCTTTTGCGTCGACAAAGCCTCCTCGTTTTGGAGATAGAGCGGAAGAGGGGCAATGTGCCACGCATACAGTTCCACCTCATCGGGAGTCTTGAGAAAGAAAGGCGTTACTTGTCCAGCTTTCAAGGTTGCTCTCGTTAGCCAAGTGTTCTCCAAGCCGGGGAGTGGAGACCGTGGGCACGGCACTCACTGGCGAACCCGAAAAGCTCGGGTTCGTTTATGTCACGGAACCACAATGTGTTGATTTTGTGTGCATACAATGCGCTGTGGAGGATGAGGTATGAGCGTCGCTTCCCTTCGGATTCAGTCTCGGGAGATGGGGGCCCTCACTGTCGTTGTACGGAAGGTATCGTTGCCAAGCCGAGCAAGGTAATGTAGAGTATGAGCGGCGCAATGACGGCCCAGACGGCTGTTCGCAGGATGGGTGCCAGTGGGGCCATTGTAAGCTTTTTTCTATTTATCTTAAAAGTCAAATGCACATCGTGAAGAGTTGAAGCAGCTGTTGAAGCGAAGGAAATGGGGGATGCCTGGATATCCGCAGCACGCATGTCATGTCAGTTCCAAGTGTGGCTTGGGCATGCAGGTAACGGATTGTGCTTATTATTGTGGTTATTCGCTTAACCGCATTTGTGCTCGCAAGCAAAAGGTTGCCTCGACTTATATTAACATTCGTCGATGGGACTTTGGCAAGTAGGTATCTCCGACTGGTATACAAATTTACGAGGACTGCCTACTCGGGTTCAATATGCAGATGGTTGACTTTTGCGTCGCTCGCAGATCGGACTGGTGGCGTGAATACAATTCGTTGGCACACCTCGGTGGCCATCGACGTCGGATCTAACTTTGGTGACAGACACGGTACCTAGAGAGGTAGGTCCTACTTACTATGCGAGACCATTGTTGTGCTGTGGCAGTAAGTACCGACTGGTAGTGGACCGCAGGGACCATGTTGCGGCTCAGTCTCCAGACGGGTACCAGCCGCAACCCAACGACGTCAGAAGGAACCAGGTCGGCAGCAGCAGCTAGCTCAGTCGCTTGTCGAACAGTGAGGACGTGTCCAGATGCGAATGCAATCACCATCATCTCCTCTACCGATTCTTCTGGCCTGGCAGCCTGATGACCGACGGAATAATTTCCAATCGAAATCCTCTCACGCAGACCTGTCGTCTCGTGCCAGCCACTCACTTCGATCCTGATGAACAGAGTCTAAGCCCCGTTCGAGGAGCTCCAGTGTGTGGGTGCTCAACCGAGGCCAATCAGAAGGGTTGATTCAGAACGCGCCAGAGCGGTGCCAGCAGCGACAGCCGCAGGAACCTCTGACCCGCCTGGCACCAAGTAGCACAGCAGCACCAGTACGGGACTGCAGTCGAGTCCCTTGCCGTGGATTTTGCTTCTTAGGTACATATGGCTAGCCCCCATCTTCCTCGACTCTACCTACACCACTACATCCACTGCACCTTTCACCCCCCCCGCCGCCAATTCCTCTTCCATTTACTGCGTGCAGTCGTCGACTGTCCACACCGTGAATGATGAAGACGCCATCCTCAGCATACTCATAGCAGAGATCCCCCATTCGACGTCATGGAAAGGAAGAGGAAGCTACCCGCGCGAGCTGCGGCACGCGTCGACCACATCGCGAAGAAGCGAACATCCACACCACCAGACCGACTCTCGCCCTACTCGAACGCGCCGACGCCTCCACCGCAGTCGCCTCTGACGGCTGAAGTCCCCCAACTGCAGTTACCGAGATCAGTCCAGCCGGGCAAGCCTCTGCCTACGGTCGAGCAGGCTCAGCCAGACGACCTCACGCTGCGCGACTACCAGTATATATACAAGAGAGGTATGACACCGACGTTCAGCACTCTGTCTGACCGCTATCAAAAAGCCGCAGCTGACGTGGGGGAAAATTACAGCGGCGTATTAGCAGAATCTCTCACTCGATCGCGACAACGATGGATTGCCGAGGGCATCTTTGAGAAGTACTGGACCAAGCCGACGAAGAAGAAGGGCGTCGTCATTGAGGAGCCCAATAACCCTCCCAAAGACAGCATGTCCAAGCTCGGACAGGTCACCATCACCATCGAGCCGCATGTCTTCGAAGCCACCATGTGGGCGATCAAAGACCCCAAGCCCCCGCCTGTCGCCCCGACCACGCAAGCAACATTTCGACCCATCATGCAATATGGACCTCCCAATGGAGCCATGCCTCCTCCACCCCCACCTCCCAAGTCTGAATCATCGCCCTCCATCACGCCCGTCCCCGATGCAAAGTCGACTCCACCTCCCGCGAGCCCAGTAACGTCCTTGCCGGCCTCCCAGGCCGTGCAACCGAGGCCGCAGCCCGCTTCGGGCGAGACAGTCGCGGCTACGGGGCCCCCTCGCAGCGTGGAACTGGCCGCAGCTCCAGCTCCAGCTCCGGCTCCGGCTCCAGCTCAGGCTACGACTCCGGCTCATGCTCCTGCTCAATCTCAAGGACCCGCCCTGGCCCCAGCACCGGCACCTGTCCCCAGTGCAGCACCGTCATATCCGCCCACCAACAGCATGTCGCCAGCGCCCAGACCCAGTGCTCCTGCTACTCTCACGCCGACCACGCCATCGGCCTCGGCAGCTGTTCCAGCTCCATACGGGGGTACAGCAGCGACGGCCAATGCGCCGTCCAGACCCTCAAGCACAACACCAACCCAGGGAGGCAGCAAGCCGCCGCCGACGCCCAAGACGCCTGGCACAGATCCTATCATCATGACACTGGCTGAGAAGGCGTCAGAGGACCCACATCTGCGCGACCTCATGAAGCGCGTCGCGGCAGGGGAGGCCAAGCAGGATGAGCTCACAAACTTTCAGCGGATTATCGACCAGATCACAGCCGAGTACAAGAAGAAAGGCGGCCAGCAAGGACCATCGGCTGATCGGTTGATTGTTGACGGCAAGACTGTCAAATACTTTGCGGATGAGGTCCGCACTATCCTCGACATAGTGCTAGCAACCAATCCGCAACAGAAGTCGCATGAGCTGCTGCCGCCTCCCGGCAGTGATCCTCTGGTTGTGGCTCTAGTGAAGAAAGCACTGGATGATGCGAAAACACGAACCATGATTCGAAGAATCGCCGACAATCAACCTGGCTTCACCGATACGACTGACCTCAAAGCCATTCTGGACAAGTTACATAAAGCCTTGCAGGCTGCACCGCCGCCGCAGATTCAGCCGCGGCAAATCCAATCTCCACAACCCACGCCTTCAACGAACGGTCAGCTCCAAAAGGCGGCGCCAGCGTCCGGGTCAGTCACTCACCCGCCTCAGCAGGCGCTGCGCTCCAAAGGACCGCCGCCCCCGTCCAAACCCGACGTTTCGGGCATAGCTCTCGAATTCGCCGGTGGTAACGGAGACAGGTATCTGTTCCCCAAGTTTAGCATTCTGGAGTACCTGCCAGGGGGCCAACAGGTCATCGCGTCGTTCTTGATTGTGCGCAAGGGCAGCCAGCTGGAATATGGTGGCGATGCGAAGCTGGACTACTATCAACCGGTCACGATCCGTCTATTTACCCAGACGGGCCGCCAGCTGGACCATCTTCATCGGGTTGTCGCGCCCCCCGAAGAAGTAAAGAGGTACATGGTCGATGTCATGGACAACATGACGCGTGCGGAATACGTCTTGCTCGCCATGCGCCTTCCTCGAGGCGAACCTCCCGCGGACAAAGACCAAGGTGGTCGGGAGGCCACATTAACCAATGGCAATGGACCCGAGGTCGTCGAACCAGTTTTACCCCCGGTACCCGCTGTCTCTGCTGGGCCCAAAAAGCCCCCTATTTTATGGAAGGGTAAAGCCAAAGCATTCATGGACCAGTTTCCGGCAAAGGAGATCTATCAGCAATTCTTAGCCCGAAAGAGGCAAGGGTTCCGCGAGCGAGTCGACGAAGGCTACAAGCCATATCGATGGGGCTGTGAGCTTCTGAACATCAGCGAAGACGAGATGCTAGAGTACGATACAATGGTGGAGAAATTGGCGGCGAAACAGAGTGAAGAAGTTTGACGCTGTCTACACACGACAGAATAAGGAACAGACCGAGTTGTGGCGCATGGAGCTTGTGTTGTCGGACTCGACAAGCTGTCGACTGCCGAGTATTGTATGAATACTGAAGAATCGGGACTGATTGCATCGCAAGGCAGGGAATGGGGCGCGAGTTATGGGATCTGGCTTTGTTTTTATGTTTCGTTATGGTATAGCAGGAAGGTGGGGGTTGTTAGGCGATTGTCCTCGGGACAACTCGTTGGCGATTGATTTTTTTGGCGTTGCAAAGGACGATTCCAGTTTTATGTGGCCCTCTGAACAGAACGTTGCGGTGTCCTCAAGTGACAATGTGCGATGAGAGATCAACAGCCCTTGGAGGTGGCCTGCGACAGGTGTATGATGACCCCCAACACTAATGCGTCCTACCACCGTGGCTGGATATCCCAAGCGTCACCTGCCACAGCTTCACGGGGGTATCTCAATCCTCCTGTAGGCGGCCCAACACCTCGACAACCTCGATGTACAATGTCTGCAGCCCGAGATCGTCATCACGACCGTCACCAATCTTCGCCTGGTGCGCATCAAAGCTACCAGTCAGACACTTCACAGCCGCTTCTCGATAGACCGTGCCCATCAGATGCCCGAGCCATGCCTTTGACTTGTCGACCAAGACGTCGCGGAACGCCTCAGCCGCCATACCATCCTTGTACAGCTTCCACGCAGGTCGCCAAAGTCCAATCTCCAAGAGCACGACGCCGAGGCTGTACACGTCAAAGCTGCGTCGGTAGCCCTCGTTGGGACTCCCCTGCGCCGAGGGGTGTCGATAGACGTTGAAGCGTGCGCTCTGCTCCGGCTTCTCCGAGGACTCGTCGACGGCGTCCGGGCGCGAGAAGTCGAATCCCACCAGATACGGGGTTGTCCACCGAGGACGCCCGTTCCGATCCAGGGGGAACAGGACGTTCTGGCTCCGAATGCTCTTGTGCAGCCACGACACGGCGTGGAGGATGGAGATCGACAGCGCAAGGCCGTAGCTCGCCTGGTGCCGCTCCTCCAGCGTCGGCAGGTTCTCCGGCGTCGGCTGGTCGAGCAGCGCCTTGAGCGAGACCATCGGCTTGCCGTCTGGCGCTGGTGCGGGTGTTGCTGCTGCTGCGCTGGCGAGCGGCAGCCGGAAGACGAAGCCGAAGGCGCTGCGCTCGACGTCGTCGAAGAAGCCGAGGCACTTCAGCGTCAGGAGCTCGTCGGGCTTCGTGTCCGTGTGCAGGAGCTGGGCAATGTTCGAGATGCGCCCGTGGAGCTCGATGCCCTTCTGGCCCATCCAGCTGGCGTCGTACCGTTTCCACTCGATGAGAATCGGTTCGCCGCCGTCGAGGACGCCGAAGCTGCGGAAGCCTGCCGAGACCTCGTCGTGGGCTCCGACCTGCACGCGTGACGTCTTGATGGACAGGCTGGATGTTACTGGCCGGTGCGAGAATTGGTGCACGCGGTTCTCGAGGTCGAGGTTCAGTTGCTTTCCGAATTGACGGAGGCCGAGGGTGCTCTGCGTTGTTTTATTTGATGACACGATTTGAGCGTCAATCTGGCTGTCTTGGAGGTCCTCCACGGCTAGGATGACCTGGGATGCTTCGCTGTTGGGCGTCATGGGCGGCAACAAGCGATACAGGCCCGCGAGGAGGGAATCCAGCTGGTCAAGAGCCCTCTCGCTCTCGGCAGCCTTATCGTGGACCCAGTTGAGGGACTCCAAGGCTGCCGCGGCCCCCGTCTTGCCATGTTGCGCCGAGGAAGTCAACCGCAGCGGCTCCAGAGACTCCAGGAGCCTTCTCACAGCATGCAGAGTCTCCGTCACGGCGACCTCGTGCTGTCTGATCCAGCGCTGCCTGCGGCGAAAGCCAGAACGGCCGCTGCTCTCGGCTGGTGCAGAGAGCCAGTCGCGCTCCCATTGCTGCAGGAGGGCATGTTGAAGAACAAGCTTGGCGCGCAGCAGGCCCAGGTGGCCGTCGAGTTCGCGCAGCGACCGCCACAGCTTGTACAGCCTGGAGCAGGCAGACATGACGTCCAGTATGCCGCTGAATGCGCCGATCCCGAGCCCTGCGGCTCCCAGCTGAAAACCTACTTTGTCATAGTCGACCGCCATGTTACCTTGTGGAAAAGAGGTCACTTTTGTGAAGGAAGGATACGATCATGCTCACGATGCAGTTAGTACGTAGACGCTAAGCGCCCAGTAATGAAGCACGGCCAATAAAGCTGGAGGCGGACTATCTACTCTATCACAAGGCGGTCCGGTCCGCATCCGCAGGGGTCGTGTCTGGGAGGATCAGCATCCTTCAAGCCCCATTCACGCAGCGTCAGCTCCAGCTTACGCAGCCTGGTCTGGAGGCAAACGAACGCAATAGAATGGAGCGCAACTCCGAGCCGGACCTCTTTTCGAGGAACACACACCGGACGTGGCCATCAAACTTGCTGCAACGTGTTCCGACATAGATCCTAGCGTGTTATCATGGAGTGGTCAACTTCAATGCCGACGTTTCGGCGCGAAGCATCCAGCAATCCACGAGATAGTTGCACAGAACGCAGCTCAAACAACGAAACATTTGAAGCCCTGTCAGAAAGCTCAAGATGCCCTCATTTTGCGGGATTTCTTGGCGTTTGTTTAGCAAAAGACAATTTGCTCGGCCTGCACCCTTTCATCAGCAATACCCTTCCCGACTTTGAGGATGTCACCCTTGGTGGTGGCTCCTTTGAAGTGCGCCAGGTCTCGACATCATCTTTTCCTACAGGCTTAGCCACGGACTTGCTCAAAAGTCGTGACTTCGTGGTGGTGAAACATCCTCGGGCAACACCGAACAGCCATGGACAGAGCACGTACCATTTTGCCGATATAGCGACTGAGCTCCAGGTTTTGCGACATGCTCCAATCAAAGTACACGACAATGTCATCGATTTCATGGGCGTCATGTATCATTACACGGGCGATGAGACCCAGGACGGAAATCGAATCGTCCCCGCTCTGGTGCTCGAATATGCCGCCTACGGCAACCTGAAGGAGTTCCAAATCTCAGGACACGCAAACACATTTCAAGATCAGATCAAAGTTGCTCTAGATGCCGCCAGCGGCATTCAGGCACTCCATCGAGTGGGCATGATCCACGGAGATGTCAAACCCTCCAACCTTCTCGTCTGCAAGAACGAGAGCCGGGGCTTTGTGGTCAAGCTCGCAGACTTTGGATTTTCCCTTTCTGTTGATGATGGCAGGTTCGTCGGCCACACGCAGATGTACTGCGCGCCAGAGTCATACGATGGAAATTTTGAACGCCAGTACCTGAAACAACTCGACGTGTACAGCTTTGGACTTACTTTCCTCGCCATTCTCGAGAGCGGTGGCACATTTTACGATAATCTGCCCACTCAGGATCTAGACATCAACGTCAGGAAAATGAAAACCGCTGATCTCATGTGCACCACCATGCCCATGCGAGTTTTGAAAGGCTCTCGACATGAAGGGCGTCCCTTGGCCATTGTTTGCAAGATACTCAACACGTGTCTGCAAAAGTCTCCCGCCGCTAGATTCCAAGACATGGACCGTATCATTCTGCTTCTTCGTCTGGCTCAGCATGTCTCTGTTGGAGAGAACTCGCATATCTCTTTCAACGATACGACGGCCGCACAGGCTGCCGAGATCATCAAAGTCATTGGAGGCGACAATCGCCCTGGCGCTACGCAAGTTCCGCCAGCGCTGCAACAAGGCTACCCGCAATGCCTGGAGTACATCCAGCTCGCAATTAATGGGCTTCCTAGGCAGCAGCCGGCGCAGCTTATGCAAGCCGAAGCCAAAACACTGAGAGATCAGGCTGCTCGGCTTGCGCAAATGACTCTCTGGATGCATGGCTTCATGATGAACACCCAGGAAAGGCCTCTGGGAGACATGTTACGTCAGATCATGGAGAAGCGAGTCATTGCAGACCTCTTCGAAGCTGTCGGCACACCCGAAAACAGGTCCGACGTCGTTGACTTTGATACATGCAAGGCCTTGAGGTTCCTTTCTGACTTGGTGGGACTTTTACCTGAGCCATATGTTGCCGGGTGGTCGGATGAATTCTCAGAAGTAGAACAATTGAGGTACATCCTTTGACTGGCATACCATATGTACCTTCAACCTAACATTTCATCAGGTCGCAATATGAAGCCAAAGAGAAATTGATTCTCAGCCGTTATTTGGATTTCATCCCGGATGTAGGTTCTTTCTGAACGCTCTTGAAAGCAATATGCTACTTCGACTGACCCGGAACCTACAGCTCGCAGCGTCGTACGCCACGATCGAAAAGATGCCTTGGATCGTCCAGACCGAGGCTACGAGAAGCCTTCAGGAAATCTTGGCTCTTTTTTCTGATGCCAGGATTAAATCATCTGCCGCTTTCAATCTCGCAATCGCGTACACACAAGGCACTGGAGTGGAATGGGATCTCGAGACAGCAAAAAAGTATTTATTCCAAGCTGGAATGTTTGGTTCTGAGGAAGCCCAGACTCTTTACATTAACATCTTTGCCTCTAACGGGACAAATTTGGCACTTCCAGAGCCAGCCGTCTGGCGTAGCTGGCTGGAGGCATCAGCTGAAAAGGGGAATCGCAAAGCACTCAAAGCCCTCGAACATGTGTCGCCGTTTTCAATACCGAGACTCAGAAGCAGCTCTCAGCGGAGACAGCTTGAAGAGACAGGACTAGTCCTTGACAAATGGACCCCGCCAGAAACTCCTATCAACAAGGAATTGCTGACGACATCGGGTCCCCAGGTTCTCTTCTGGGCCATCACCGAGGACCGACCCGATGCCGTTGCTCTCGTCATCAGAGAGATCCCAGCTTGCACTGAGACCCAGACAGAGCCTAAAGGGGATTTCCCTTTGTTGACAGCTTGTAGGCTGGGGCGAACTACCATAGCAAAAAGCTTGCTCGATGCCCAAAAGAGTGCTGGCCTTGCCGATAACTTTGGAGTTACACCCCTGCATTGGCTGTTTCGGTTTCCAGCAGCGGAAATGTTCGACATTGCCTTTGCACTTTGTGAGAAGGGAGCTGATCTCCACGCGGTTGCGGCCTCGCTCCTACCCACGCAGTATGATACGCAGGTCAATGAGTCAACCGAACCTCCCAGCTGGACTCCTTTGCACTGGGCTATCTGGTCGAACAGCTTGGCTGCTGTCGAGACGCTGCTCACACTCGGTGCGAACCCCATCTTCAGCAAGGAGTCCAAGGCGGGCGAGGCACGATGTCAATCACCCCTGGATCTGGCATGTCGACTTTGTCACTCAACAATAATCGACCGACTCGTGATGGAGCCTTCGGTGGTTGAGGAACTTCGCACAGCAAGGTCCATGATTATCGACCACCCTTTGAAGTCGCGACCCCTTTTGTATCCGCTACAAGGCGCCTCTCGCTGGACCAGACTTCTCTCCAGCGGCGTTGGCTTTGTTCAGGAGATTCATAGGACGATCACCTCCTTGGTCTCTCATGGAGCGCCCACGGATGCCGTGCTCGAGCTTGGCGAGTTCAAGGTCCCTGCTGTATTCGCGGTTGCCGAGCATCAGTGTTTCGCAGAGGTCATGATCGCCGGATTGGAAAACGGCTTTGCGAAGGAAATTGACGTCTTCCCGCAGAAGGACAAGCGGCACAACGCTCTGCTGATGGCGATAAACCACCGAGACCAGGCCATGGTTCGCGCTCTGCTGACAGCTGGCGCCAGTACAACTGTCGAGGACGCACATGGGCTGGGGCCTCTGGAGCGTGCTGCAAAGGAATCTGATGATGTCTTCTTCGTGCGCAGCATTCTCGAGACTGGCGTCTCCGCAGACCCGCCTGACGTATCTAGAATCAGTGCTTTTGAAACGGCCGTGTATACCGGCAACTTCAATGTGGCGCGCTTTCTATTCGATGCCGGAGCCGCGAGAGACCGGGTCAACATGTCCGGACGTACCTTGCTTGGAGAAATGATCCTCATGCACACCCGCAATGCGCTGGAGAGGATCAAGTTCCTCCTCAGCCTGCCTGATCGCGAAGGTCAGGATGGGTTCATCGTTAAGCACAGCACCAGCCGTCCCATTTCCGCATTGCGCTTTGCTGTGCTCCAATGCAAGGAAGCCGACCCCACGTCACAGTATGCTGATATCACTGACGTGATGGTTGCGCACCTCCTCGAGAAGTATGATTCGAAGAATTACTTTGACAGCACCGATGGCGAGGGCCACATGTCAGCCCTCACGGCAGCCGTGGGCTTGGGCAACCACCGCGTCGTCAAGCGGCTCCTAGAAAAAGGGGCTGATCCGAAAATTGTGGATGACAAGGGGCGCACCGCCATGTCGCTTGTGCAGTACAGATACACGTATCCCGAGACCGTGGGCCTCTTGACTGAACGCAAAGTGGCAGATTTAGACAGCGGCACTGCAGAGAGGCTTTGCAGGAGGATCAACCAGAACACATCCGAACTTGTGGGTGTCCTAGTTTCGTATGGTGCCTTTGGGGATGACATGTCGACACCAGAGTGGTATCAAGGTGAGAAGGGTTACAAGTGTACGCATTGCGTTATGGAGGCGCTGCGCAGCAAGGTTGGCGATAGCAACGATTGATCTTGAAGGATGTAGAAACTAACCCCCAAGGCCTGGGCCAAGCTTGAAACTTCAAGCCTTACCATAATGCCATGCTTGCTCTCCGACCTCGCGTCGTGATTACCTTAACAAGAGACACAGTCTACGGCGGGTACACGACTTGGACACCTCCCTCACACCTTCAGCTAGCGCCCGCATTTGCAAGGCATGCTTGAATTTAGGATTTTTTAACACCTCGCCTTGCCTGTAGAATAGAACCTTGCATTGCGGCACATCCAAACCTAAGTGCCGTTACTGCAGCCCTAGAACGAGGCTCGAGGGCTGCAGACGAACTGCATCCAGCCGAAGTAGCGTGCCTATTGCAAGTCAACCTTCGCTAGCCATGTATCCTCTGCAGCGTCCACACCCTGTATCGGGAGCTATGTTAGGCTAACGTCGGTTTTCAAGCGACTGACAGAATCTCTACGCCTTCTTGAGCTCTCTTCAGTTTCAGCGCGTAGCTTGAACTGGAAAAGACGTCGTGACAGACGTCCTCCACTGCTTTCACCTTTTACATAACAGCAAAAGAGAACGAGAACCGACTGATGATGCATGAAAGCTTTGGCGCCCCGTCCGAATCATGATATCGGGGCGCCATCGGGAAGCCTTCCTTGAGGTGGCGATCGCCTGCTTACTCCTTCGGTCTCGACTTTGAGATGTCTGACGATGGCGCTCAGCAGGGCCACCATCGGAAAACGCCATACATCGTAGCATCCATCCGAGCACTACCCGATGACCAAGAAGGCAGTCTCGCCGGAAGATTAAAGGCCAGCCAGCCTCATCATCAATGTCTTGATTCTTTAGCAACACATTCACTCTCTTCGACTATCCACTCGTTCTTGACCAGGTCGCACAGCGACTTGCCGACCTCAACATGAAGTTCACCCCCATCATCCTTTCGGCCGCTCTGGTCAGTGCTGGCGTGATCCCCAACGATGTCCGTACCGACGAGGGCAGGCTTGCCGAGCGCTCCGTCGCCGGCGACAAGTGTCTTACCCTTGAATGCGCCAAGAAGGAATACGTGCCTGTCTGGCGCGGCAAGCTCTGCGAGAAGCCCGGCTGCGAGAAGCCCAAGTGCAAGGAGCCCGAGTGCAAGCCCAAGACGGACGGGTAAGTTGACGAAAAAGAAAATGCCGAATCCAGTGCGCTGACTGACTGGAACAGATATGAGGAGTACTACTGGATCGAGCATATCGACAGGAAGCACCGCCACAAGGACAATGTGAGTTGCAGGACAACCCGGCAGCCAGAGCATATATGCTGACAGCTTTGCAGGGCTACAAGGACTACTACTACAAGGACCAGCACGACTAGTAAGTCCTTCCTCTGTGTCATACGGTCTGAGCAGTTCAGCTGACGAAACCACAGCCCGCGCAACCACACCAGGCCTCGTGTGAATGTGAACAGGGTCATCACCAAGCGTGACGTCGCTGCGGCCGACGAAGGGGACGACGAGGTCCTCACCAAGCGCGGCGAGTCGGCTGTCGGCAGACCCTACTTCAAGCCCTACTACGAGGATGACCCGGACTACGAGTCGCACTTTGAGCCCAAGCCTGCGCCTGTGCCTGCGCCTGTGCCTGCGCACCCTCACCATCACCATGGGCCCCCTCCCCCTTGGCGCCATCATCACGAAGGACCTCCTCCCCCCTGGCACCGTGGTCACCACGGCCATCACCACGGTCATCACCACCATGGCTGCCACCCGCATGGTCACCACCATCACGGTCCTCCTTGCCATCGCCGCGGCCCGGCCCCCACTCCCACTCCGGCCCCCACGCCAGGCAAGAAGCACGACGACCGCGACGACGTGCAGTGGTACCGCGAGGGTATGTGCCCCCCTTGATCCTACCCCATGTGTACACGAAGAAAACAAACGGGAAAACGCTGACCCTGACCGCAGAGATCACCCACGACCACGAAGAAGACCGTCACCAGGGCAAGAACAGCGACAAGTGCATCCATTGCAAGCCCGTCATCAAGGCCGCCAACACGACCGACACCAGCGCTGCCGCCAACTCGGCCTTCCGCAACCGCAACGGAGGCGCCCGCACGCTCAACAACAAGTCGGGCAACCTTATCAAGGCTGGCAGCCAGAAGACCGTCGAGGTGGTTCCTACCTTTGTCGAGGAGGATGTGGCCGAGGAGGACAATGACGAGCAGGAGAAGGAGGAGTAGGACGGGATCTCTCATGCCTAACTCGGGAGGGCTGGCAACTGTCTCTACCGACGGCCTCTCTATTCTGCAAGGCCTAGGGACGCCTGACCGGACCTCGATTTTCTATTGTGGGGGCACCGTGTATTCGTCTCACCTTAGATTGTATGGAGACGAACTGCCCTAGTAATATTATCCTTCATTACCTGCGTCCTTGAGATTGCCCCATCGACCATGACAATTGGTCGATGCCCATACGTACAAAGTGCGCTGCCCTTTTTGAACGAGATCAAACGCCATACACCCTATTCCTGTCCAATGTGAGTGGAATCTTAAATCGTCTTGATCAACCTCAAGCCATCGACCCGCCGCTGCGGCCGCCTCCAATCAAGCCCGCCATCTCAAGCAGCGCACGATCTGCCTCGATGCCGCTGGTGCCGAGGTTGATCTTTCTTCTGGCTTCCGCCTCTCTCGCCTCCCACGCCCACCGCGCGGCCTGTGCCTGCGCCTCCTCGTCGCCTCCACATCCCCACACCTCAAGGCTCTCGACCTCGAACCGGTCCTGGAAGTCGTATCTCCGCGAGACGCTGTTGTGGTATGCGCCGCCCTGTGACGTGTAGTCGTGATTGAAGACACCAAACTCAAACGAGCCGTCAAGCAGCAGCGACACTGGGCCAAGGGCAAGCATGCCGTCGTGGCGATGCGACTGCGTTGGCCTTGGGTGCGGACAGCCTGCTGCAAGAAGGGGGCGGTTTGTGGGCGCCTTGGTGAAACTGACATAGTCCCGGTTGATGGCAGACGCAGGGAACACGTCGTGAACAGGTTCGAGCTGAAAGAGAAGAGAGTCCGAGTCGCCGAAGCACTCTTTGGACGTATGCTTCCACGGCTGGCCGATGTACATGCCGAATGTGAGGCGGTCGCCCTTGCTGCCATGGGGGAAGCGTTTGGGTGGCAGGGAGGCTGCAAACGAGGCTTCCTGACCGCCGCGGGGTTCATCCTGGATGCGGGAGCCGCGTACAAGAAGGATGGTGGGAGCACGCCAATTGAAGACTTTGGTTTCGAAGCTGCCCATGGAGAAGCCTGCTTCGGCGCCAGAGTAGAGCAGCCGGAGCTTGCGGAACAAATTCGCACCTGGAATGAAGAACGATAGCTGGGACAGAACATTGAAATTCATAATGCCAGCCTTGTCCTGAAGAAGAGGTTGTGCGACTTCTCTCTGGACCGCCTTTTCTTTCTCTTCGGCTTGGTTATCGTGTTTGGAGAAATCTAAGTTTTTGGAGAAGAGGAAATGTTCGAACAAGGCATTGAAGCCTTGGAAAAGGTAGGGAAAGTTGACGGGAATGATGCGGTTGAAGGTGCTGTACTTGATGCCAGGCGATGTTTCCACGTTCAAGAAGGCATGGAGGACATTCCTCGCCGTCGACCGTAGACTTTCCAGCTCGTCCCCTACGACCCGATTGGCATGCAAGGCCAGGCTCTCCTGAGCATCAAGGGGTGCAACGAGCAGCAGAAGCATGACGATCCTGTGGAAATTGTCACCAGGGATCATGGCGCCCTTGATGGAGGGTGCATCGCCCTGCTTCACAGCATCATCGATGTCGAGTAGCTCGAAGGCGGCGATTTCCAAGTCATCATCGTCTTCATCATCGGCCTCGTCGCCGGCCTCATCGACGGCAAAACCTGGGACGTGGCTCGCCGTCCCTTGTGCCTTTGCTTTGGTTTCAGCCTCTTTGCTCGCTTCTTCGGGTACGGCAGTGGCCACAGCACGGTCATGGACAGCCAAACTCTTGAAAAGTAGCTTGGTGCGGTCGGTGGCCCCTCGGGCGAGAACTCGTTGGTAGCGGTTCGTCAGGATGGTGACGACCATGACCATTTCCTCCAGGCCGAGAAAGACGGGAGCATCGTTGAGGAAAGGGAAAGCGCCGATGTATGAAATCATGCGGAAAAGAACAGGCGATGCGTGAAGAACGTCAGGGAGCTCGAGGAAGCGGGAGAGGGTCTCCTCCTTGAGATAGTGGACGCCATCCTGATCATCGGCAAGACTCTTGAAGACGTCCTTGTAAGAGTAGATTTCGAGCGATGTGAAGCACTTGTCGGCAAAGCGGCGGGCCTGGAAACATCTCGTGGTCAGCTTGCGGTTGTTGCCTGGGAAGAGGTCCTTTATGGCGGGGCAGGAAAGCTTACGAGCTCACGAGTAAGGTCCTCGCGGGTTCGGCGCCGAGGGTTCTCGTCTGAGTGCGATTGGCCCATTGTACCAAAATTGTACGAATTAGCAGACGAAAGAGCTGGTGATCAAGGTGAGCGATGCATTATTGACGCTGCATGCGGGTGCCTTGAGTTGAGGAAAAGGGCGGACTGATGAAACCACCCAGCGCCAGGGTGAAGCATAGGCAGAAGAGGGAGGTGCATCCTCAAGTCTGCCTTTAGATCCCTGACTGAAGCCCACCGTCATAGTGGGGTCAGGCGCCAGGGACCCCTCCAATGGCACATGAACCAGCTGTCACTGTACAGGTACAGTGGGGAGACAAAAAGAACGACGGATTTTTGTTATAAGAAATACTGATTTAGCTTTCAAAGTACTATTATAAAATAAATAAAGTAGTTGTTAGTAATCTGATTGGTAGACACTGTAGATTCAGTAAAGTCCTACTATTATTATTAGAGTCAGTATTTATAGTGATCTATAGAATAAGTAATAGACGTTAGAAAACTATGTGTTTTTGTGTGGAAACGGAAATCCGTCGTTTTTTTTTGTTGCATGACTGTACCTTACCCTACCTTAGGTACCTAGGTAGGTACATACGGTAGGTACCTTCCTGGGTACCTATGTAGGCAGCTACCTGATGTCGGGTTGCTCGCTGACCGAGCTACTCGCTCAGCCTACCTAGGTGGGTAACTCAGTGCCTACTTGGGCAGTAAACCCAACCTTACCTTACCTTACCTTACCTTACCTTACCTTAGTTGATGTGCAGTCAGAAAGAAAGGAGTACCCCAGCTGGATTCGAAATGACAAGGAGAGAAATATTTGTGCATCTGAATTTTCTGGCAGAGTCGTGAGCTTGCTTTCAGCCCTTCTTATTTAGGTACACATAACTAATTGCGAGATCATCCGGAACGCCGTGACCACGTACTCTGGCCGCCCACTGCTATCGTACCAACTGTCGCAGTCACCGTACCTACTCATACAATGATGACATGGTGTGACCGACCCTGTGACCTAGTTCGTTTTGTCGTCCTCCGCAGACACCCTCTTCACATTGGTGGGCGTCTTGACCTTGCTGACGATGGGCTCCTCATCCACGGCCTTGCTCGCGTCCGCCGCCGGTGCCTCGCCAGGCTTTCCCCATCCCGACGAAGATCCCGAAAGACCCAGTGCATTCAGAACGCCGCTCTTCGCCTCGCCGCCCTCCGCCGGCGTCGCACTCGCACTGCCCGCCTTGGCTTCCTCGGCCTTGGCCCTACGGTTCATGACCCGCGCTCGCATGGCCTTGTCCTCCTCGTCACGGATCTCCAGCTCCCTGATCCACTTCTGTCGCTTCTCCTCGTTGTCCCGCTCCTCCTTGAGCTTGCGCAGCTCCTTCGTGGCCTCGCGGTCTTTGTTGTAGTACATGCTGCCTGCAATCATGGCGAGGACGGTGAAGCCCTGCGCTGCCACACGGGCTCGGAACATCTTGTTGGCCGAGACCTGGTCGCCGCGGCGCATGGCGCGCCAGGCCTGGGTGAATGCGAAAACGGTCAGGCCGGCACCTAGAAGGGACACTGTCAGATGGGCCGACTACGGGCAAGGAAACGGTATTCGTGTATCGTACCAAGAGGGATGAGAGGCTCTTCCCTAAGCTTGCGGAAGATCTTGGCCATGGGCTTCTCGTTGTAGAACTCACTAGAGACACTGGGTCAGCAGGAGTGGGTGGCTATGATGCGGGAGCTCAGGGCGTACTGGTTCTCGTCGAAAGAGGACGGCATCTGCCGCCCCATGACAGAATCGTCTACATTCGGCATTCTGGCAGTAGCTGTCTAGAGGTCTCGTAGGATGTATTCTGGTCGACGTAGAGGTGTTTGATGCAAGGAGGAATCACGCTCGTGATCATGCGATGGAGAGCGTGCAGCTACTGGAAAATCGATGATGGAATTCCCGAATTGGCGCCTGCGGATTGGATCGCCGTGGAGCTGGACCCTGCTGCTAGTGGGGCGCCATCTGCCCACCAGAGGAGCTCCGCCCTCGTCCGGCCTTTGATTCATTCACCGTGCTTGAGACTCACCCTGACCGAGGGGTCCAGACCCCTGCTCCCGGTATCGCCCTCGATCGACTGGGGACTGCAAAACCGTCGCCCAATGAACACCCTCCCAATGCATGTTCACCGACCTGACTCCTCCCACACCGAGTCTGTCCCTCCGATACTGCCCCGCCAAAACAAAATTCCCAAGGTGACGGATGTCATCGTCAGGGCCTCTGTCCTCACCGTTCCCTTTTCTGACACAGCCCACAAGTCAGCATTTCGATCACCATGGCCGACTCGTCCACTGCCCCCGTCGTGCCTGTCATGACGAACGGCACAACCAATGGCGCCAATGGCGACCACAGGCCGCACACGCCCGAGACGAATGGCGGCTTCTCTTTAACCGAGTACAGCGCCAATCCCACCACACCTGCAGAAGTCAAGCGCAACCGCATCAAGAGCATCGTACCCGAGGAATTCCTGCTTCCCAACGGATACCCAGATGTCAGCATACCTCTTGACATCATCTCAGGCCTACCGCTGACAAGTCGCTGCGTTTCAGTACCTTCGCCTTATCGCCAGCGCTACATCACGAGTCTACGAAGCCTGCAAGCTGACCCCCCTCCAACCAGCCGTCAACCTCAGCAACCGTCTCGAATGCAACGTCCTCCTGAAGCGTGAAGATGAGCAGCCCGTCTTCAGCTTCAAGCTGCGCGGCGCCTACAACAAGATGGCCCACCTCGACCCCGCCAAGAGCTGGAAGGGTGTCGTTTGCTGCTCCGCCGGCAACCACGCCCAGGGTGTCGCCTACTCGGCCCGCAAACTCAAGATCCCTGCGACCATTGTCATGCCCGAGGGCACCCCCAGCATCAAGCATCTGAACGTCGCACGGCTGGGCGGCCACGTCGTGCTGCACGGTCAGGACTTCGACGCCGCGAAGGAGGAGTGCGCACGTCGCGAGCAGCAGGATGGGCTCATCAACATCCCGCCTTTTGACGACCCATATGTTATCGCCGGCCAGGGCACCATCGGCATGGAGCTTTTCGGCCAGACCAATATGTCCAAGGTCGAGGCCATCTTCTGCTGTGTTGGCGGTGGTGGTCTCATTGCCGGTATCGGCGTCTACATCAAGCGCATGGCGCCCCACGTCAAGATCATTGGTGTCGAGACGTACGATGCCAATGCCATGGCGCAGTCACTGGTCAAGGGCGAGAGGGTCGTCCTGAAGGATGTCGGCCTATTCGCGGACGGTGCCGCGGTCAAGACGCCTGGCGAGGAGACGTTCCGCATCGCTAAGGATGTCGTCGACGACGTCATTCTCGTCACGACGGACGAGGTGTGCGCTGCTATCAAGGACATGTACGATGATACCCGCTCCGGTCTCGAGCCTGCCGGTGCCCTTGCCATCGCTGGCCTGAAGAAATACGTTTCCGCCAACCCCTCAACCGACACACGCCGATCCCTTGTCGCCGTCACGTCGGGCGCCAACATGAACTTTGACCGCCTCCGCTTCGTCGCCGAGCGTGCCACCCTCGGCGAGGGCAAGGAGGCCCTCCTCTCCGTGCGCATCCCCGAGCGACCCGGCTCCTTCGCTGAGCTCATCAACAAGGTCATGCCCCATTTCGTTACCGAGTTCTCCTACCGCTACGCTACCAACGAGGTTGCCAACGTCCTCATCGGTCTGTCCCTGACGGCGCCCGCTTCCCAGCGCGTCGAGGAGCTGCGCATGCTTGTCGAGCGCGTCCAGGCCTCCGGCATGTCCGTCACCGACCTCTCGGGCGACGAGCTCGCCAAGAGCCACATCCGCTACCTTGTTGGCGGCCGCTCCAACGTCCCCGACGAGCGCATCTACATGTTCAACTTCCCCGAGCGGCCCGGCGCGCTCGAGCGCTTCCTCAACACGCTGCGCACGAGCTTCAACATTACGCTGTTCCAGTACCGCAACTACGGCGGCGACGTTGGCAAGATTCTCGCCGGTATTGCGTGTCCAGACGCCGAGCTGAAGGAGCTCGAAAAGTTCCTCAACCAGATTGGCTATCCGTGGGAGGACTGTACCGAGTCGGAGGTTTTCAGGACGTTCTTGCGTAGTTAGAGAACTGTCGATGCATGGCGTTTGGTGTTGGGAACGATAGATTTCACGGTACTTAGATGGCAATGTACATTGGAATGAACTCTTCAGCAGTCTTGTTTGTTCGCCTCCTAATCCCCTCTGTATGGGCAGGGCTATCGGAGAGGAGAGAAATCCCACCGCAAAAGTAAGAAGTTCCTGCCAGTGACATGAATTCGTTATGACCCGCAAAATTACTATCATAATTACGGACCACCGTAGTTTCGTAGAATCATCTTGCCATTTTCTGCTAACATGACTGACCCTTGCGTTGGGTATGTCTCGGTGAAGCCCGTTTTCGGTGTGGTCTCGGTGAACAGCTGCCCCACGTGACCGCGCGACGTCGGCCCATCTCAACTCTGCACCCTGCACCTTTGCGGCATCCGCACCCGCTCGACGAAAAACCGCCCGACGACAACGAATCGCGACAACGACTCCCCCAACGCACGCAATTCCCCACCAGCGCCATGTCGGCCCTTTCCCTCGCCCGCTCCTTCGGAGCCCTCACCCTGACGGTGCCGCGCGCCCTCGCCGCCACGGCCCCGACGATGACGAAGACACAGACCCGCGCCCTGACGACGGCACTCTTCTCCCGGCCGCGCGTGGGCCTCGCCGAGACGACGTCCAAGACGGCGGTGCAGACAATCGTGCAGCAGGTCCGCGGCATGAAGGTGCACAGCTCCGTGAAGAAGCGATGCGAGCACTGCAAGGTGGGTTTTTCCAATCCCGTGTCCTCGCGATGGCATAGTGCTGACGAGGCTGGTCCATGCAGATTGTGCGCAGGAAAGCGGGCAAGCGACACAACGGCTACCTCTACGTCATCTGCAAGTCGAACCCCAGGCATAAGCAGCGCCAGGGCTAAGCGGTGGCCTACGAATTCCGAAGAAACGGCCGAGGTGAGGTCTTGGGCCACCGGGTCACGCAAGGGGGCGTGCCAGACGAGAGCGACTAGCGCATGGCATAGAGGAAGATGTGTGCGGGGTGGGAGGAGGCACCAAAGTGTACGAATGCCGGCAGCAGCACGGGGTAGACGGCGTTTTAACGGGCAAACTTGGAAGACTCGCATGCACGCATTCTGTAAACTGTACCATCACCAACCAACCAAATACCTACTTCTACACATACTCTACAGGAAGAGATTACAGTCCCTCGACGTAGCGGCCCATGCTGTCCCACTCGACCTTGCCCGTGGAGAGCAGATAGCGGATGTGTCCCTGTGGGTTTAGTCTCAGGTTCACAGAATCAAGCAGGCGAGCTCTCTCGTGGTGTAGACGTACAATATCCGTGACGTGCCGGTGGCGCTCAAATTCGCCGCGGGCATAGCGACGAGACTCGGCCTTTGTCGAGGGATCGGAAATGTGCGCCGTGCCGCGGAGGATGGTGCGGTACAGGGACAGGACGCGGCCGCGCTGGAGGAACTGCGGCTCATGTCAGTTTCTACATGAGTTTAAGCATGGGTTTGGTCGGCATACGTGGTCGAGACTCAGGGTCTTCTTCAGGCGGGTCTTTGCTGGCGCCGCGGTTGAATAGCCACGGGCAGCAAGCCACCAGCGGCCGAGGGTGGGCTTCATGGTGCGTTCATGAGGGTTTCAATGGCTGGACAGTCTATGAGACAGCACTTCTGTTGTCGAGCTTGACTTGTGGTGATGGTGAGTGTTGGTCGGAAAAACGTCGGCTGGCGGAGCAGTGACGCTGTGAGAAGCTGTTTCGGGGGCCGCAGGAGGGTATAGTTCACCTGACCATTGGGTCTCGACCTGAGCTGACTATTGGGTCCTCTTTTAACTTCCGCTAGCCTATCTGGGAACTAACCTGACCATTGGGGGGTGCCGAAAAGGGCGAGTAAAATAGGATTATCTAATATTCATCGATTTCTCTACTTTTTATTTTTTTTTCTTAAAAAAAAAAAACAGTAGACTTAGTAGTCTGGCCTCAGTGGACTTAGTGGTCTGGCCTTAGTGGACTTAGTGGTCTGGCCTCAGTGGATCTAGTGGTCTGGCTGGACTTGGTGGTCTGGGCTCTGTGGTATTATGTAACCAAGGCACGTGAGACTTTAACAGCACCCCATAGCACCCCCCAATGGTCAGGTGAGTGCTAGCGTGACTTAAAAGCGGACCCAATGGTCAGCTCAGGTCGATACCCAATGGTCAGGTGAACTATACCCTCGGGGCGCAGTGGACAGACGCTGAACTACCAGGACCCTAACCCTGGCCGGATGGAGATGCCTACATCCCGTGAATATGGTATCTACATTTGTCCTATCACCGTTTCATCGTTTAAAAGGGTTGATTATGTTGCCTGGTAGCCGACTAACGATGACATCTTTAAAAAGAAAAAAAAGTGAGGCAGCGCGCATCAAATCCCATATCACAATTCTATCAGGTGCACACAGCGAGAGGAGATCATGTCCCGGTCGTGGAAAGCCCTTCCGATCGATCAGGTCACAGTGCATCGAAGTGCTGCACGTTCTGCCGCAGCTGGCGCCGAGCTGCAGTACACAAGGAGCTAGGAGGCTTGTCGTAGGGCGGAAGACTGGAGCTGAGAGCTGGGCTTTTTGATAGCGCCAAACGCATCGGTGATTCAGCTCCGACCTTGATCATGACCGTCTGTTGCACTTGCTGCGCTGTTTCATGGCAAAGCCTTTGCTCAACAGCTCCAGAGTCTGTTCGTGTTGTTGTTTTTGAACTTTGTCGATTGGATCATCGAGCGGAAGAGAGCTTCGACATTATCTTGCTACGATGAGGTTTGGCTGGAGAAACGCGCGATACGAATAAACGCGATCACAAGACACCTTGAACTGATACCACTGTCACGGACTCTTACACCTGGATCTTTCGTAACGAGCCAATGATTATGTGCAGCCGTCTTCTTTGGAGCCGCCTCATTCTTTCAGCTCCTCTGGAAGATCTTGTACCAAAGTGAGAGAGAAGTGCAACGTGACATGAAAGCGGCGTATATTGGTGATTAATAGTGAAAACTACGGTCCTCTCAAATTTTGAACCCCCCAGTGCGATCTCTGAACATGCCGTCAGGATCCACCTCCTGCTGGACCCGAGCAACCAGTTGCTGATGCTCCGGCCGCAACCTTCCAAAGTAGTCCTGATCGTAAAAGGCATCATTCATGAACAGAGGGAGATGCGTCTCAGGCAGTACGCCCTCCGCGGTATAGTTATCCACGCGGTCCTTGAAGCCGGTGTAGGCAGTCCTCATGGCGGCTTCAATCTGCGGCGTGTTGATGGACGAGAGGTGGCTCAGCGTAATCTGGAGCACGATGCGGTCGACGTCGTCGCTCATGTCGAGGAGGTCGCCGCCGCGCTGCTTCGCGATGCGGGCCATGCCCTTGGGCAGCGGCTGGTAGCCAATGTTGGACGTCATGCCCGGCACCAGCTTGACGCTGTTGCGGACGTTGCGCCAGTGCTCGTGGATGTCCTCGAGAACGTCAATGTTGGCGGCCGAGGGCAGGGGCATCGTCTCGGTGCCAATGTGGTAGACGCTTCCCGTGATGACGCCGTAGTTGTTGGCCCGGACAAAGTCTCGGAAGCTGCGCGTTTTGCACGTGTTCAAGAAAGGTTTGGCTGCGGTAAAATTGGCAAAGGTGCCAGCCGGTGGCTCGGGACCGTTGTAGAACATGAAGATGGTCCACATGTTGACGAGCCCGGCGCCGGTCAGGATGGCCGTTGGGATGATGGCCGCCTTCTCGTCAGGGTAGTGCTCGGTAAAGTCGCGGATGGCGTTGAGAATGACCGTGTCCGTCTTGGGGGTTGAGGGGAAGAACATGCTACCTCCCCAGATTTCCCCTTGAGGATAGGCCTGCAGGAGAAACGACGCGACGACACCGAAGTTGTTACCGCCTCCCCTCAGTGCCAGGAAGAGATCCGGGTAGTTGCTCTGGGTGACGTTGACCACAGTGGCGTTCGGCAACACGAGCTCATACTCTAGAACAGAGTTGGCTGCCCAACCCCGCTGGGTCGAGAGGAAGCTCAGCCCGCCTGGGTATATACGTTAGTGGGATATTCTTGCTGTAGAGGAAGGACAAATTACCTCCGAGCAAAAGCCCACCGACTCCGACGTTGCCTATGCGGCCGCCAACAGCGTTCCATCCGGTGCCATCGAGAGCATCTGCAACGTTTTCCCACCTGTTTCCCGGACCAACACGAACCTTGCCCTCAGCTGCATTCAGAGTGACTTGATTGAGTCTGGCTGTAGAGATGAGAGGGCCTCCGTCGACACTGGCAAAGTGGTCGTTGGGGCTGTGACCACCAGACTTGACGGCAAAGGTCTCATTATTGTCCCGGATAATGGCCACAATGTCGGCAAGCTCCTGCGTCGACTCGGGGAAGAGAATGCAGCTGGGCTTCAGGTCCCCTGAGGACGTCGACCAGTACTCCTGCTGTTCTTTGAAGTACGTCAAGGATGCCCGGCGACTGACCTCGACGTCGCCCAGTGCGCGCACGCTGTCACATGTCCCCGCAGAGACTGAGCGCAAGGCGAGGGCGAGGAGACTGAAAGCAGAAAGATGCTTCATGATTATTAAACATGAATTAAAAATGAAAGACTCGAACGAACTAAAGATGATGGGATGAACTGCTGCCAGTCATCTTCACAAGAGAGACGGAATGTTCCCTGCTTTATGGAGAGTTCAAGGACCAGCACCTGACGGAACTTGCGCCATGGTCTTGATGCGAATCATTGCTCCATGAAGCTCGCAAAGTGTAAAGGCGCACAGGATGCCCGAGACAATCTTTTCGATAGTGTCTCTGCGAGCTTCGCGGACGCCGACGCCATGCCATGTATGTGGGGGATAGCGCAATATTGCTTGTTCAAGGCCTAAGCGACTTGTCGAAACGGCTCAAGGGGGAAAGTGATCGTCAAGTGATGGCGAGTGTATGACTGAGCTCGCGAACCCAAATGACATTGATAGGTTCCGCTGGGGCTAGATGAGGCAGCTGAACAACCATGTCAGGTCTGTAAGGCAATGAAGGTGTACCTCCTTTACATGATGCCTGCAGCCGTTAGTGTGGTTTGGCGCCCACATGGGATGGTCCATGGCCTTGAGACCCTCGCTCTAGTGATGCAGTCAAGCGGCTGGATCAACTTGGCGGATTGTGTTGCCATGTGCCAAGGTCAAGACGGCCGACGGCGATGTCAGGGCTGCGCGCCACGAGTATTCTTCCCGGTTTGGAGTCCCGAGTATTGAAGAATGGTCGTCACCTCTCTTACCAAGCCTGGCCACTGGCTTCCCAAATCCAGCGTGATGCATACGGGAGAGGACCAACCCAAACGTAGTCCCGACTCGTGAAGGGTTGGCAACACGGCCTCGCGTACCCAGGACTCGAATCGAGCAAATGTCGAAAATTTTTTGTGCGGCGTGCCGAATTTGTTGCTTTTTTTGTTTCCTTCGAAAAGAAATTGACGATATTGGGCAATCTCTGTGATGGCGCTCTCTCTCAAGATGACCCACATCCAGTCGGTGCACCCACAATTAGGTAACTTGCTCAAGATCACATTTCCTACTTGCCTTGACTATGACGTTGCTTACCCTTGGCTGATTTTGTATACGCCAAACACCAAAGGGTGGTCTATTTTGCCGACTTGGCGAATAGAGGTTTGGATTGTCATAGTTAGGCTTGTGAACGCCCGATGGCATGGCGAAGTTCGAAGGTATCCTAATGAAGCGGTCTAGTTCCTCGACCAATTGGCGTACATTGGGATTCATCGCCGCTCGGACCGAGCCTTGCATGCGGTAGTCAGTCCGATGGATGGGGATGAACTGGCCACAAATGAGTCCCAGCAACTCGCAGGCGTCTCCATGTGATTGTCTTTCCCGGGGAATATACCTTCGTCCGGGGCAGCATGTCGGAACGTACGGTTCTGCTGTCGTATTGGAGGATACCTGTGATAGAGTAGGCCGACGAAGGTTCAGCAATTTCATTGACACAACCAAAGGCAAGGTAGGTACCTTACCTGGAGTTAGACCGTGAGTCAATACTGAGAGTCTGACTTCCAGGGACAGGCACTTACTTTGAGACAAGGTACCCAAGAAGGGATCGTCAGACCTACATCACAGCCCCTAATTGACCTCGCAGCTTGATATCCGGCCGAGCCGTTGTAGGGGTCTGGCCCTCAGCTGGGCTGCCGACAGGAGTATTCTGGGTAAGGCAAGATGTCAACAGCGTAGTGGTGAGCGTGCTCAGGTCCCCTGCCTTAGCGTTGGTTAGGGCCCCGGGGTCGGAAATGTGGGGGTTTCCAGTTGACCGCAGGGTGTACATGTACAGTACCTTACTTGGCCCACTGATGTCTGGGCAGTGACTTCCGGTCAGTGACTTCCGGTCAGTGACTTCCGGTCAGTGACTTCTGTTCAGTGCATTGACTGTCGCGCCTTGCGATCCATCACTCACTCCCCGAGAGACAGCCATCTGCGCCATCTTGGACACAAACATAGCCTCACCCCGCCGAAGACTCCTGCGCCAGTGATGGACCTTCGAAGACAGACCGTCTGATCCCCCGTCTCCGACACAGAATGGCTGCTGCGCCAAAGAAACGACGGAGGGCGCCGACGAACCCTCTCGAGGCAGCAAACCGCAAGACCGATGAGCAGTTCATCCGCGATCATCTCCAGCCAAGGTTTGCGTCCCTTGCAAGAGATCAGCTCATCCCCTGTCGCGAACCAATTTGAATTGACTCGGTCCCAGCGACGGGTGGACAACCTGGACTCACCCACATACCGCGAAGCCCTACGCCCTCTGCCTCAAGCAGCCGGCTCGCATGACACACGATGAGCTCCAGGCCTGCTATGATCTCGTCGAGAAGACGAGCGGCGACGACTACCGCGCTTCCGCCGATGGCTGGCACCCGAAGAAGAAGATGGTCGAGATGAAATCTGCCGAGCTGCGCTACATCCTCGTGCGTGATGAGAACAATGATCTACGGGGCTTCACGAGCCTCATGCCGACGTGGGAGGACGGCGAGCCTGTCGTCTACTGCTACGAGATTCATCTCGAGGATGAGTTGCACGGGTATGTTGTCGCTTGCCGAGCCATCGACCGACCGAATCATCATGTTCCATTTTTGCGTGCGCTGACTGGCTTGTCGAGCAGCACCGGATTGGCAGTCTTGCTGATGGGCTTCCAGGAGGCCATCGCCCAAAGCATCCCAATCGTCGAAAAGGTCATGCTGACGTGCTTCAAGAGCAACACCAAGGCCCTGGCATTCTACCGCAAGCTCGGGTTCGTGAAGGATGCCCTCTCGCCCGACGAACGGCGACTGAGGGGCGGCAAGGTCTTCGTCCCTGATTATCTCATCATGAGCCGCATCGTCGCGCGACCTTCTTGAGCTTGGCACTTAGTAGTATGAGGCCAGAGGGATCACATGCCCTGATTTCTATTTGTAGCCCCCTCCCAGACCCAGACTCTGTGTCTGGCAGCTATGGCGGCAATCTGACAGTTCCCTTCGTCTCAGCCCTAAGATGACGCTAACCCGCAGCGACGTCTGACACATTTCCCCAAGATACGACCAAATTGGCGAAGCGAACTCGACGACGTGCCGCATTCGGCCAATGATGCACGCAGCGAGGAGGCCAGGCTGAGGCGAAGCTTTCGCCGGCCATCCGATGGAGGAGCAGCCTAAGCCTCGCACCACACCATCATGAGCATTCGGGGCCTGGTCCATTCCCACAAGGCTGCATGTGGTCAAGCTGTCCATCTAGCTTGCGCCTCGTCGACCTGTCTTTAATGGCTGCCGTCCCCAAGCTGGGGGATGGTGGAGGGGTCGACGTGTCTGCTGTTCTGCTTGCACGCCATCAACTGTGCTGCGATTCCGGTCTCGATAGCAACGCGAACAGTCCTATCAATACACCCATTCTTTTCATAAAAAAGGACACATTATTGTCGTCGCAATTGGCAATAGATTCACCCTGACAGCACGCCATGGAATACCAGCACCAGCAACAGCAAAACGGCATTCAGCCAGCCCCGGGATACACTCAGGCCCCTGGGATGAACTCCAACCCGCATCCCCATGGGCAGCTCCCGTCAACGGACCAGGGCTACCAGCAGCAGGATAACATGCGTGCCAGTAACGCCGAGGGCGCCAACGTGCGCAAGCAGAAATGGAAAAACAACCTCTGCAACTGCACCCCCTGCGGCACATGCCTCCTCGGCACCTTTCTCCCCTGCATTCGTGCGTTTTATTCCCCCTTCCCATCCTGCCCTCTTTGGTCTTTTCGACCGAGGCCTTTACTGACCAGAAGAAACAGTCCTCGGCAGAACGTCGGAACGCATGCGCGACCCGACGATGCGCAACTACCAGCCCATCAACGTCGACTGCGTGCTCATGTGCGGCATCACGTACTTCACGTGCTGCGGGTGGATCTACGCCATGATCAAGCGCGGCGAGATTCGCGAGACCCTCCACATCGAGGGGTCCGGGCTGCGCGACTGCTGCACGACGTACTGGTGCCCCTGCTGCGCGCTCATCCAGCAGGACAAGGAGGTTGAGCAGGTTGAGCGGAGGGCCGCGGCCGGGCCGATCGTGCAGGGGTATCAGGGGAATAAGGAGGGCATGCACATGAACCGCCAGGTGTGAGGGTTGCGCTCTTGTTTCTCTTGGTGTGGCGTTTTGGTGTTTGTGACGTTTGGGGAGGTTTCCTGATTGCCTGCGACCTGTCGATTGACTCATTGTCGCCTTGACTCCGAGTTCACCGCATACTGTCGCGTTGAAAGGCGGAAAAAAGATGGCTGCGGGTGGGATCGAACCACCAACCTCCTGGGGAAGTGTGTGTATGATTCTAGGTCTGCGGAGCGGACGGGTTCTAGGAAGGAAGAAACCCCAGGCGCTCTGCCACTGAGCTACACAGCCTTTGTTGGAATGGATAAACATGCGCTCTGGTTATGAATGAATTGGACAGTCGAAAGTGTGTCTGCCCGTGACCAGAAGGGTGTCGACGTTCAGCATGGACGAAGCCACCAGGGTTTCCTGTGGTCAGCGGGCTCGTTCTTCGAGCACCCACGAGTGGCCCCTATAACGGAAAGTAAAGCAGAAATTTTTCTGATCCTGGTTACATCAAAGACTGCCTCGAGCCTCAGCAGCGTTATCCGATCTTGATGCCTCCTCCGCTGGCGCTGACAACACAGCCCGTGATCCAGCGAGCATCCTCACTGCACAGCAGCCCCACGACATCGGCGACGTCCTCTGGCTGTCCGAAGCGCGGTATGCTCTGCGACGGGAAGAACTCGTCCTGAAACGCCTGCACGGCTTCCGGCCCGCAGTTCATCACGGCCTCCGTCTCGGTGAGGCCGACGGACACGGCATTTGCCGTCGTGCCCTCCATGAAGGCAAACTGCGCCACGTCAGTACGGCTTGACGATGCCTGCCAAGGGAAGGGAGGAGGGGAAAAAAAGAAAAAAAAAAGAAAAAGAAAAAGAAAAAGAAAAAGAAAAAAAAAACATACCCGCTCCTCCTTGCCGCCAAAGGCCTGCGCCCAGGTCCGACAGAGCGACTCCCCCGCCGACTTGCCCGCAGCATACATGAGCTGCTCGCTCCACGGCTGGCGCGCGCGGACGGAGGACAGGTACACGATGCGGCTGCGGCGGCGGAAGAAGCGGCGGCGCACCAGCTCGTCGACGATGAGCACGGGCGTCTGGACGTTGGCGAGCAGGCTGCGGTGGACGGCGGCGGGGTCCGTGTCGCCGATGGTGCCGGGCATGGGGTCGCAGGCGCTGTTGACGAACATGTCGACGCGGCCGGCGAACGAGGCGGCGACGGCGGCGCTGATGACGGCGGCGCAGTCGGGGCTGAGGATGTCGGCGACGAGGCCCTGGATCTGCAGCGAGGCGGGCCGCGGGCGGGCGGTCGCGGCGAAGAGCTCGGTCGTCGCGGCGTCGAGGGTTGAGGCGAGGGCGGCGGCGCCGGCTTCGCTGGTGCAGGTGCCGAGGATGGAGCAGCCGCGGGAGGCGAGGTTGCGGGCGATGGCGAGGCCGATGCCGCGGGAGGCGCCGCTGATGACGGCGACCTTGTCGATGAGGTCGAGCTCGCGGACGCGGGGCTTGGGGGGTAGGGGGATCGTCGTCATGGTTTAATTGGGGGTATGACGGAGGGGAATCGATGGTGGAATGGCGAACTTGAGGCAACGGAGGTGATGAAGTTGTTGATGAGCGAATGTTGAGGCGTGGAGGTGATGCCCATCGCGAACCCCTCATTTGAGCATCTGCACTCAGCACTAAAGCAGGCCGGTTTCCACAAGGGGATCGACAGTGGTGGCGTTCGACCAGTGCCGATGCGCACAATTCCATGTGCTACTTCGCTGGCATTGTTGGTGACTTTGATACTATCGAGCTGCTTCTTTCAGAAGGCATTGAATGATGGGCAGACGAAGCTCTTCTGGTCACAGGCCAGCGCTGTATCGCTACAAAGTCATGGTAGGGCCGAGACGACGTGCACTGAGTTGGACAGAGGTGACGTGTCTAAAACACCACATGTTGTTCGGCCAGTGTACGGACGACCCTCGCTCAATGCATTTCATAGCCCGAGATGGACGAGTCGACACTCAGCAGCATGCCATTCCAGGTGCCTCCATAATGACCCGAACATGCCTGCGCTGAGCTACCCGGTGCTAGCTCGTGTACCAGGCATCGTGACATCGTGACGCCTGAAAGGGAAAGGCCTCATCAGATGAGTTCGATCTGCAGGGACGCCTCATTCTCGCTGTGGCGGGGGATTCACCACAGGCTGGTGAGGAAGCCTTAAATAATGATGAGAAGTCAATCATGGTGATGCTTCATTCATTCATCCCATCCAAGTGGCTCTCGGCTCCGACTTGTGCCGACACGTGCCGGCGGGTCACGCTGATACGCTGATACGCTGATGACGCTAGATTATCAGATGATCTGATAAGATCGAAATCTCGCATTCCTCACGCACAGTCTTTAGAGTCTTTACAGTCTTCATCCACTTCTCACGCACCCCGCCACCCCTCCCCTCCCTTCGCGACTCGAGTCCATCCCTTCCATCTCCCCTCATGCCGTGGCCATGAGACGCCCTCTGTTTTCTTCGCTTCTCCTGCCACTATTCGCTGCCACGTCATGCCTCCTCCCTGCGGCCCAAGCCCTAGGTGAGGATCTCACCTTTGGCTCGTGCGAGCTCGCCCTCGCCCATGTCCACTTTGACGACGTCGGAAAGGACGCCTCGAAGCTGGCCCAGAGGTGTGAGAGCCGAGATCGGATCCTGTCGCTCTACCTCTGCCTCAAGGTCTACGGTGCCGAGGGCGTCGGCATCCCGGGCCTGAGCCACGAAAATGAGACCTGCCAGGCTTGGCGCGACACGCCACTGCCGCCGTTTGACATTGTCGACGCATACTCCAATGACGATATCGCGCAGCTGAGGCACATCGGCCTTGACGAGCAGCAGAATGGTGCCCATGTTGACGAGGTCATCATGCTGTCTGAGACGCTCTATCGCGCGGCGTTCGATACTCTCGTGAGTCCTTGTCGTACATTGCAGTGAAAGACACACCAACTCATTCCGTGAAGGATGCCGTTGAATATGTCTACTACAATCACTACATTTACGGGTTTGTCTCTCCTTCGTCTTCGCCTCTCCCATCCTTCCAAGGCGTGCCTCATGCACTAACCTGTCCACAGCATGGCCATGATCATCTTTTGGATCGTCGTTGTCGCCATGGGCGTCCTGAGCCGGCTCATTGCCGCCATTGGCGATGCCCAGCGCTCCATGGTGAAGCCCAGCACCGGCATTTCACGTCCTTTTCATGCCTTTTCCGTCTGGCTCAAGCGCCATGTCACGATACCGGCGACCTTTGGTTACCGCTGCGCCCAGAACCTCGGGTGGTGCACCATCCCGCCGAGGATACAGAGCCTCACCCTCCTTGCCTTCATCGCCATGAACGTCTTTCTCAGCCTCTACGGATACCGCTTCACGGACAATAACCTTTAGTAAGCTCACGGCAGGCCACGCCGGCAGCGGAAATCCAAGCTAACCGTGCCAGCTTTGGGAGTTTCGAGAGACAGATCTGGCGTTACGGTTCTGACCGCACAGGCATCATTTCCTTCTTCAACTTCCCCGTCATCTGGCTCTTTGGCATGCGCAACAACGTCGTCATTTGGTTGACCGGATGGGACTTTGGATCCTACAACAACTTTCATCGCTGGGTTGCCCGCGTCGCTACGCTGCAGGCAGTGCTGCATTCCGTCGGCTACACAATTCTCATCATCAAAGGTGGGATACCTTGACTGCCATTTGGGTTCCTTACGCTAACCAATGCCAACAGAGGGTGGTGTCGATTACTTTGCTTGGTGGTGGACGCAGCTCTTCTTCTGGACCGGCGAAATTGTGAGCACGCCTTTCCAGCCAGCCCATCCACGTTCTCCTGCTCACATGTCTCCAGGCAACCGTCCTCATGTGCCTGATTTTAGGTTTCTCCGTGTACTGGCTGCGACGCAAGCATTACGAGACCTTTCTCATGCTGCACATTGTTCTGTCCATCTTTGTTTTGCTCACGATGCTCGGGTAAGTGACGCCTTGATCTTGGGGACAGGACCGACGACTGACACAACTACAGTCATGTGTCAATCTTCAAGGGACAGTACGACATGCTCGCCTGGATACCTGCCATGATCTGGGTCCTTGACCGCGTCATCCGCATGTCCCGCACGCTCGCCTTCAACCCCCGCTTCTGGAACACCTGGGCATCGGCCACCTACGACCCCAGCAGCAACATGATCCGCCTCGTGGTGCCGCACTCGTCGAGCTTCTACACGCCCCAGCCCGGCACATACTACTATCTCCACGTTCTGGGTGACACCAAGTTCTGGGAGAGCCACCCCTTCACCATGGCCTACTCGACAGGCAGCAGGCGCCGGTCGTCCAAGGACCTCAGCGAAGACACGCCGCTGATGGAGAACCAGAACGACATCAGCCTCGCGTCCGAGGCAGACGCCAAGGACCCCGCCATGACCTTCCTCATCAGACCCTACGACAGCTTCACCTCGCGCCTCAGGAACGCCGCCGGCGCCCAGTGGCCCGCGCCCGCGCCGCTGCGCGTCCTCGTCGAGGGGCCCTACGGCCACACCCAGCCGTTCCACAACTTTGACAACCTCCTCTTCCTCGTCGGCGGCAGCGGCATCGTCGTGCCGCTGGCGTACCTCCACGCGCTCGTCGCGAGCCCCCGCACCAAGTCGATCCGCATCGTGTGGGCGTCGCGCGAGCGCGGGTTCGCCGAGGACGTGGCCAAGCACGACCTCGGCCCGCTCGTCGGCTGCGACAAGGTGTCCGTCACCATCTGCATCACCCACCGCGAGGACTTTGCCGACGACGCGCTGTCGGCGCTGCCCGAGGCCGCGCTCGTGCGGTACGGCAGACCCGACGTGCCGCGTGAGGTCGAGGATGCTGTGCGGGCGGCGCGGGCTGGGAGTCTGGCTGTCGTGGCGTGCGGGCCGGCGCGCATGGCGGATGATGCGAGGAGGGCGGTCGTCGATTCTCTGGGCCATACGGAGGCCAAGGTGGACTATTTCGAGGAGAGCTTCACGTGGTGAGCGTTCTTTTTTTCTGGATTCATATTTGGGCATGGCGTTGCGGCATATACATTGGCGAGCACGATACGACACACGCATCAGCGAGCATGGCATCGAATGGACACTTGGGAGGCGTTTGGAAAGATATCATTAGATCATGAAGATACACGGCCACATCCACAGCCTTGTTTTTGCACTCCCTTGCGCTCAGCTTCCTGTAGTGATATCCCCATTATTGCCGTGTCATTCAATCGTGAAAGTGACAGCCCCGACTTCTCTTCAAAGCTCGTCAAACGCATCAGCGCGTCTCTCCAACGAGCTCGCTTTTGTCATTGAGTCCTGCCCATTTCGGCTTCCCGTCCGTGATATCCACCACCCGCCTCGTGTAGAATATGTGCATCCTGCTTGTTCGTCAGTCGATGGCCCAGAAGAAAGAATGAACTACGAGCTCCCGCAAGAGAGAATAAAAAAAAACCGAATGCAAGAAAATAAGAACGAGAAGAAACTCACTCCGGCGCAAAATTGGCCTTGACCTCCTCATCCCCCTCAAACTCCACGAGCGCCGGGAACAGCAGCACCATGTTCCGCCCCTCGTCCATGATGCGGCTGCCGCAGCGCGCGCAGCTGACCTTGCACGGCAGGCCGTGGGCGGGCTCCTTGTCGGCGGCGCTGTAAAAGGCGAGGCCCTCGACGCCGCGGTCGAAGGCGACGTGGTGCTTCTCGAAGATGGCGGCCCACTGGAAGGGCGCGCCGTGGAGCGTCTGGCAGTCGGTGCAGTGGCAGTACTTGGACGCGAGGGGCCGGTCGCGGGACAGGTGGTAGACGACCTGGCCGCAGTGGCAGGAGCCGCGGAGCGTGTTGGTGAAGGGCTCGTCGCGGGGGCGGGCGTAGGGCGGGTTGGACTTCCAGTCTTCGGAGCGTGTTGAGGGCATGTTGGCTGTTTGGGCGGTTGTCGGCCTGCTGGGGGCTCAGACAGGAAGAGGCGGGCGGCTGGGGAGTGAAGGGGTTAGGTTAGGGTGAGGGATCGGGATTCAGGGCGAAGCATGCGAAGCAGAGGTCTTGACAGGCTACATGGCCCGTGGCGCTTTATGGACGGGCTCAGAGCTGTTCGTTTGCTCGTGCCGTGCTGTTCCTTCAGACGAGGACATCGAGTGCGATCGGTGGCGAGCGGATCAATGACGCGTGGCTTCGTCATGAATCACCAGCGCGTGTCTCTCAACGCTGAACCTTGCGCTGGCCGGGGGAAACGCTCCTTGGTGATTCGGATGAACAAACCCATGGCTGAATGAAACGTGGGGACTTATAAACATGCGTACAATGATTACTCTCTCTTTGCTTGTCTGGTGCCAGCGTGTTTTCTCGGGCGCCACGAGCAACCCAGCACATCGAGGCACCACTTTGTCAGGCAACTTATTTTCAAATCTTTTTATGCACCAATCAGTCGATTGACATATCGGCTTCGATTTTCGTTCTGCGAGCTGCAGCTCCTCAGAAACACACCTCTGTCGCCTGCATCCCCGGCGGTGTCGCCCGAAAGCTTCGGAGGCATGCCGGGCTCAACCCGGAAGAGGCCCACTCTGCCGGATATGCCGGGCCCGACACACGGCCACCGCCGATGAGTATGATAGACATGTGTCCAATAAACTGAGAAGCATGCCTCATCCAGCACCGAGGCAGTCTTGTGCACTTTGATAAACGGCAGGGAAGATGCTCCAGCTCGACCGAACTACGGCCCGTAGATGGGGGCATACCGCACCGCTCATTCCACGCCATGGTCTTACGATCACCATGAACCAAAGGCAAGCGGTCACAATGATCGACAGAATCTTCATACTTGCAGCCCTCTACTTCAAAATGCTATAATCCTAGATATTCCGAATGTTTTCGCATTTGAAGACTAGTTCTTTCGTTCACCCTGCCGCAAGTCTCGACCTCCACCGCCAACATGTCAAACAGCCTTGCTCTCCAACTCAGCCTCCGGACCGCGGCCCTTGTACGTACTCTCAGGCAGCGCGTTGAGCGCATCCTCCTCGTCATCGAGCTTCCGGAACGCGAGCCAGAAGCCGAGGCCACCGGCTCCGCTGATGCAGGCAATCGTCGTGTAGAGCCAGACGAGCAGGGGATCGGTGGCGAGGCCGACAAAGGCCTGGGCGAGGGCCGACGAGATGGCGAGGACGGACCAGAAGACGCCGGTGACGAGGCCGCGCATGTTGCGCGGCGCCTTGGTGAAGGCGTACTCGAGGCCCGTGATGGAGGCGAGGACCTCGGACAGCGCGATGAGGATGTAGCAGGGCGTCTGGATCCAGACGCTCATGTTGGGCACGCCGTTCTCTTCGATGCAGTCGCGGTCGCTGGCGTAGGTCCCGCAGGGGGCGCGCTGGTAGATAAAGTGCTGGATGATGGCGGCGACGGCCATGGAGAGGGTGGCGCTGGCGAAACCGAGGGCGATCTTCTTGATGGGCGTGAATCGAAGACCGGCGCGGGCGATGGCTGGGTAGAGGAACTTGTCGCAGATGGGAATCAGGATCAGAAGCGAGAAGGGGTTGAGGTTGGTGATGATGTCGTTGGGAAGGCCGTTGAGGCGCATCGTGGCCGCCTGGTTGATGAGATTGTTGGACATTTGGCCGTAGGCCAGCCAGAAGATGGGGAACCAGAGGAACACGGAGCAAGCCATGAACCCACGGCGTACCTCGTCAACCCAGGCGTCGTCGAATGTCATCCAGCTCGGCTTGTCGTGGACCTGGCTTGGGCGAATCTGCTCCCAGAAATGCTTCTTGCTCATCGAACGGAAACCGTTGCGCTTGATGCCGTAGATCACAAGACGGAATGACTTGCCGAGAACCGATCCCGTCGGTGGACGCTTGGCGTACTTGTTGCGACAGAGTACCATGATGATGGGACACAAGAGGAAGAGGACGGTGGGCAGCAGGAAAGACAGCCAAAAGCCGACGTACTTTTCGGCGTAAACCATGGAGATCTGACCCACGAGGGCGCCGACGTTGACGAGGAAATAGTAGCGCATGTAGACTCGTGAAATGGTCATGACGGGGTCGACAATGACACGCTCGCCCGACTTCAGTGTCTCAACCGTCATGCGTGGCTGCGTCATCTCGTACTGTTCGGCAATGAGGGGCGAGATATTGGCCTTGAACCAGCCGACTCCGGTGCCGAAGAAGAGGAGACCGACGACGAAGCATCCTAGTGAGCCGCCGGCATTCTGGATCACAGAAGGCACCGAAGCAACAATGATGATAATGTGCCCTACGGTGGCAATGACAATGGCATACTGGATCGTCAAGAAGCGGCCCCAATACGTGTCGGCCAAGTAGCCGCCTGAAAGAAAATTTAGTCAACAATGTTGCCGCGCAAGAAGGTAGATTTACATACCGACGAGGGGCATGAAGTAGGACCAGAATGAGTTGAATAGAGTCACAGCCGTCGAAACCTGCTGTCCCATGCCGAGGGCGCCAGCCTGGCCATCAGTACCCGCAGCACCTGTGGTAGAGCCTTCGGGTAGAGGGTAGCTGATGAAGTTGACGACTGTGGCGTGGAATGTCAGCTGGATCCCGCTCTCTAGATGTGGGTGCGCTTCTTGTCAACTCACAGACAGCGGTGGTGCCGTAGTAGGCAAACCTCTCAACCATCTCAACGATACCAATGGAGTATATGAGCCAGCTGACCTTGCCGTGGACACGGCGCAACGTCTCGAGCTCCTCATCAGTAGGATACACTTCGCCGTTAGGTCCACGGAGCGACTCTGTCGTTGAAGACACAGCATGTCCTAGGTCTCCCTCGCCCTTGTAACCGGGCTTCTTATCGGTGTTCATGCCCTTCTCGATGGCCGGGTAGTCGGCGCGAGCAGCCTCCACGAGGTCAAGCTCCGCGGCGGTCGACATGATGAGATGACGATGTCTTGAACCAGCTTATTGACGTCTGGAGTAGGCTTGTGTAGATTCCAGCGCAGACTGGAAAGACGTTACGCGAGACATACCCAAAAGCCAGCAAAATGTAGGGGGGTTGTGTCTGCTTTTCTACTTTTGGAAGACCAGCTTTCATCCCGAACGATTGTCGTACCAACCGTGCCCTGTGGACATGCTTGGCTCCAGAATCTGCTCTTCGCAGCGGAGGAAACCATGACATCGTTCTAGCCGCAGCAGATGATCATGGTCGCATTCGGGCGTCTTGGCGTCCTGGAAGGGGAAGCTCAACAGCAGGCCAAGCGAGGTTATCTCGACATATGCACCTCCGCACGGAACTGGCTCAACTCAACAGACACAGCAATTAGAGCTTCCCCGCACTCTTCCCAGGCTGCCAGGCTGGCTGGAGACCTTCAAGGGGTGTGTCTGTCAACGAGAGAAAGGATTGCACATGCTACATTGCAACGCGCGCCCACCGCGATAGACAAGGGTTCGGTCCGTCGCGGGCCCTGTTGAAGGTAGGATCGGCGGGAAATCATAGGTTGGGTCTCAGACTGTGCAACCTTGAACAGCCAATGAAGCCAGGACTTCTTCTCTGGGATGGTGCGATTAGGCTCACGATATCTGCACCTGCACAGCATGAACGGCAGGCCAACAAGGTTCTGCTTTGGCCGAGACGTGTCCCGAGCCCAACAACATTGAGATAGAGTACATGACCCTGTATAGCACAACGGCAACATCCAGTCGCAGTGCCACCCCCGATCTGCAAGTGTCCACCGACTCTTGGCGGCTTGGCGGCTTTCCAGAAGAGGCAGGCGACAAGCAATGTCCCATGTCTGGTGACCGGGTGGAAGAGCATATTTTGACGCTCCTTTTCTGCTTGCCAGTGCGCGCGACGAATTGCCTCTTTCCCTCTGGCCTTCATGCGAGTGCCGAGACGGTGACAGGGGGCCGCACGGCTCCTTGGCCTTGCGGCACAGGAGAGTTTACGGCGGGGAGGGGATTTGCCGCAGGCTCTAGGATGGACTTGGAAGCTGGCAATTATTGTAGGCGTCGGCACAGGGATTCGAGCGCGCCGTCTGGTGCTTCCCCGGGCGCCACGATTCCTCGTCGCAGCGCCTTCGCGGACGCTTATCAGGCTTAAGCATCGAGAGGCGCTCAGCCACGGCGCAGACCTTTTTGTTTTCTCCGCTTGTTCGCCCAGATTTCGGTACATGGCACCGAGTGCTAGGCGCTTAGTCTCGGTCTTGGCCTGATCGAATGAGCAAACGGTGTTCAAGGTGGCTGCTGACATGAACCAGACGCTGCGTTCCTCGTGTTGCCAACATGAGATGAGATCAGTCAAGGGCATGAGAAATACCAGCGGCGACGCAAGCGTTCCGAATAGTCGTCACGTACTCAATGGAGCTTCAAGCGACTCTTTCTTCTGCCATCGGTTAGTTTTCGGCGATACATAAGGTTACAGTCCGAATGGCAAAGGGATACGTGCGATGTGACGAAGCTGTTGAGATTTACCGGCTAACTAAGAAAGACTGATATAGTAACTGTAGAGCCCAGAGTGCGTAAGTTTGGTTGGATGCAACAAGCAAAACATGCCCAAAGACACCATCTACCCTGACTTGCTTTGCATGAAGCATCCTGCAGCCTCGCTGAGCTTGTACTTATTTAAATAACGAAAGGTAGTTCAAGGTGATAACACTGTATCCAGGACGATAATAAAGCTCGCAGGTCCTATTTATATGAAGCAAATCCACACAGAAAACTCAGTCGAACAAGAAACTCAAGCTATGCTAGCTGCCATATACTCCTTGCTGAAGGGGTAGTCTAGATACCCAACCGCCGATTTGTTGGTGTAGAACGTCTCTCTGTTGTACAGGTCCAAAGCGAGGTCCTTTGAGATTCTAAACACAAGGTCTGGATTCGAAATGAAGTAGCGTCCAAAGATCACCACGATGTCCTTGCCAGGGTACTTCTCGTCTACGAGTTTCCGAGCTTCTTGGGCCGTGTAGCCTCCTGCAATGAGCAGCGGCCCTTTCCAGAGACGGAAAATCAAGTCAGACTGGTCGTCGTCACCGTGTTCCGCGTCGACGCTTCCTGATATACGAGCCTCCACAACATGGAGATAAGCTATGTCTGCTTCAGTTGCCTTGCGAATAACGTCCGTGAACTGCGGGATCGGATTCTCCATCCGCATGCCTTGAAAGGTACTCCAAGGACTCAAGCGTAGTCCGACACGCTCTTTTCCGATAGCTTGGTTAATAGCTTGAATGATTTCGTCGACAATGCGGCTTCTATTCTCAATGCTGCCGCCGTACGCATCGTCGCGCTTGTTACTAACGTCTTGAACGAATTGGTCGAGCAGGTAGCCGTTCGCTCCGTGGATCTCAACGCCATCGAAACCCGCGCGCACCGCGTTCCTTGCAGCTTGTGCAAAGTCAAGAACGGTTTGCTTGATCTCCTCGATAGTCATGGCCCTCGGTACGACTGCGCTATCATCAAAGGCGATGGCGCTGGGCGCAACAATTGGGAAGCCCTCAGCCTCAGCCACCTCGGCCACCGCAGCGCGGCCCATGGCAAAGAGCTGACAAAAGATGAAACTTTCTTTGCGGTGGACCTCGTCGGTGATTTCTCTCCACGCGGCAATCTGGTCCTCGTGCCAGATGCCCGGGGCATTGTTGAAGCCTCCGCAGTTGGCTGAGACAAACGTCCCTTCGGTAATAATAAAGGTTCCTGGTACAGAGGCTCGTTGGCTATAGTACTCCTTCATCATTGGCGTGGGAATCCGGGCGTCAGTCGCTCGAAATCGCGTGAGGGGAGCCATGCCGATGCGATGCTTGACTTCAACATTGCCAATCTTGAGAGGCTTGAAAAGATTTGAATGAGACATGATGAACAATACTGTCGATGCTTGATTATTAGCGGCAAATTCAAATCACAACTCCGAGAGAAGCTCGACCTTTATATGCACGTCTTCGATGAGATCAAAATGAGCATTTGTAATAGTTAGGCGAAGCTCGTCGGCTGTGGCCTTGGTGATGGCCAAAAGGGGCAACGAGATGTTTCCTAAAAGGGAAACAAGATGTTTCCTATCTGGGGAGACATTCATGCAGCGAATCAGCGTCTCACCGGCATCGCCACTAGAAGGCCAGCAGATATTCGCAATCTGCCTGCCAGGATGACGAATACTTCATATGTGTGTTACTGCGCTCTTTGCTGTAGTCACTTCCACTGCGACCCTTCCGCTTCGTAGAGGGCTAAGGGCCCGAACCAGGCTTATGTAGTCGTCTCCTTGCCGAGCGCCTGCAGTTGGTATTTGTACATTCTGAGACGCCGACTTATCTCTCCTGAATCGTAGGTAATCCAGCTGTGTTTTCAAGGGTGCTCAAGTTCTTACTCATTGCCGAACCTTCGGCGACCGCAATACGCTTCCTCGGGCTGGCCACCTCACAAGCCCTTAGTGACTTGGTCTCTAATTCCTTTCATTATCAACCGTGCCATGGTTCTGCACTCGAGCGGCAGTGTTCAACCTGACGCTGTCAAGGCGCTCAGTCAAGAGAATTAAATTCACGGTGGCCAAGCAGACAAGATAGCCCTCAAATTACGGGCCTATTGCCCATGAACTGATTCTACTCCGCCCCGGAAACTTCTATCCTCAAGGCTGTTCTCTAGCGCGCTCATCTCATCTTCGAGCTCCTGGGACGAATTGCGCCTCGCCGTCTCAAAGTCTACCAAAACAACGTCGTGCCCATCTCGTACGAGAAAGTTGTGTTTGTTGACATCCCCAGACTTGATTCCAAGCTGATGCAATCGCGCCAAAGTCTTCTTGCAGCTCTCGATGTCTCCTGGCCCCGCGACTCTTGCGCCTTGCAACCACTCCACGGCGAAACCAATCACGCGCCCGTCTTTGGCCTCGGTTAAGATGACCGAGGAACTTTGGGCCAATACGGCTGTCATTGATCCATTGGTAGGCATTCGTCTCAACCTCGATGGAGGGGATTTCCCACGACCAAACGGCAAGTTTGATAAGCACAGGTTTGTCGTCGTTAAGTTTGGGATGCGTTGAAATGTGAACTCGCTGCCTCACTCGGTCTTGCTGCGTCAAGTCCAACTCGTTCAGCTTCACGGGATGCCAGAGGTTCTCTACCCCGGCAAGGTGCGCGGTCTCCGCCCTGGCGAAGATAACTTCGCCTGTTTTCGGATCTTTAGCCACATGGCCTTTATTCCAAGTCCGGATTGGAAAGGGTGGAAGGAGCTGGCTAAGCAGGATGGGCTCGAAGGTGCGGCAATCCTCGGCCCCGCGAAACGTTCCTGGCGCTGTGGTTACGTATTTGACGTGTTGCCTGTCGACAAGAAAGCGATAATCGCTATCGTCAATGTCTTCTTCGTCGACGAGACAAGCGAGAAGCCTGACGTTGGTATTTCTTTGGCTTGGGAACGGCCATGGCGGAAAGCGGCACTGAGAATGAGGCGACTGCTTGATTGGCAAAAGAGGGCCTGAATGCAAATGGCGGCAGTGTAGCTTAGCACCTTAAGACGGCGGTACATTTTTGCTGTTCCGATCGGTCAGGAGCTTTTCAATGTTGGCTGTTTGATGTTGAGAACTGGAAGATTCGCTGGGCTGGAAGAAGGGATGAGCGTGTGACAGGCGTAGGCATTGTGACGTTGAAGAAGGGAAAAGGGACCCCTGAAACGTACGAGCCTCCCAAGGGTCACCCTCTCAGCACCTTTTACAAATCAGACAGCCAATCAGCATGTCTTCCTATATCCCGGCCAACGTCAGTTAGGTACTAGGTAGGTACTTTATGCAACCTCCTAAAGTGCAACTAGACCTGGCCAACACGATGGTCAAGCCAACACCATGGCCAACACTTTGGTCAAAACGATGGCTAACACCATGGCTAACACCATGGCTAACACCATGGCTAACATCATGGCTACAGGACGGCTAACAGGACGGCTAACAGGACGGCTAACATGGCGGCCAACATGATAGCTAACATGATAGCCAACACGAACATCAAACTTTGTCTATGCGGGGCACAGCGGACCATAAACGGCCGCGCTTGCATTGGCGAAAGTGAGCGGGATCACAGAGCTTTCAGGTAGCCGGGCGTTTTGTTGAAAGGAAGCTATTTACAATGTGAAACGGGAAGATGCATAAGTATCGGGGAGACTGCACTCAACTTGAACAAGAGCGTCACACCTACAACAGACAGACAGCTACCTCCGAATGCAAGGAATACCCAGCCAACGTCCCCCATACACCTGTTCTTCACCACTGGCTCTGCCTTACTATTTTGTTCCAGTGTGGTCATATCGGTGAGCTGTACTTCGTCGCCGCCGAGCGGCTCCTGGCCGCTATTCGCTATGCTCTCGAGATGCATAAAATTATACTGACCCGAAGTCTAGACGTAGACGCAATCTTCACCGCAACCCTGAGCTGTTTTACCCTTCAAAGTCACGATTACACGAGATACCGCACCTCAGTCACCATGTGCATCCAAACCTATCGCAAGTACACCTGTGGGTGCAAGAAGCCAGAGGAGTTCAAGCAGTACGAGGCATGGTTACACAAACGTCAAATGTAGCCCGGTGACGAGAGTGGACCTCTCCGACTCGGTACATATGTGCATCAAGCACATGGTAAAGCCGGGGAAGGACGAGATGCACCGCTGATGATGTGTGATGGCGATGTGATAGAGTGATTGTATACTCTAGGTTGGACAGATGCGTCGAGGCGTTGTGTTGGGATTACCAGAAGGACCTCGACGTACACTACAGGGTGAAGCAACAAGATTAAACATGCCCACCCACAGGGTGAAGTGGCTAGTTCCCAGTCAAGTTTGACTAACGTGCATGAACCGACCGGGGATCCTCGGCATCTCCTCAACCGATCCATACCTCGCAATGTGCTCCAGTATGTCTTCTCTGATATATTTGATCCTGAAATGATTCGTTTTCTCCTCCTTTTCCTCCCTGCAGCCAAGACAGAAATATCCCCAATCGGCCTGCCGACCAGCATCGAGCAGATGTGGCGCGGTGATGATGGCCATGAATCGCCGCGGTTCCCTGGTGGTTTTGTCCAACTTTGGAACGCTAGAGCCCGTCAGACTCTGAACAACTGACTGGCGATCAAAGAGTTGAAGCCGCTTCCGCGCCAAATTGCCTCCACCACTACCCCAGGCGGTACAGTACCGCCCGGGCAGGCTCAGGACGCTTGGGGGGTTCGCTGATTGTAATAGTTGGCGGGCGGAGATGGCTTCGCGCTGCTGCATCCTGTTGGGGGTGAACAGCATCGATGCTTGCCCAATTGTGTGTGGGAAGTATTCCAGCCGTTGGGTGAAGCAGAAGTAGCACACTCGGCGGCAGTCGACGAGATATAGTCACCGAAGCGCTTGCACGTGGAACACCTGTATGTGCTAAGAGTTCTGTAGAGTGTACCGCAATCAAATGCATCTGCCTGGATGCTGAGAATTGCGCGGATGATGTTAGGGCAATGCTTGATAAGGGCGGCGTACTGAGGGATCGGGTCGACAAGCCCCATCGCTCGGCGGTTGACGAGACGGAAGTGAGTCAGCGAGGGAATGTCGATCTGAAGCAGGATCTGGATGAGAAGCTCTGCTGGGAGTTGGTCAAGCTGGCCGGCGGGATAATGCGTGGACATGAGCGCGTCAGCGTGTCGCCCATTGTCAAGCGGACATCGCGTCTCCAGCTGTGCGTCGTCTAAAGTGTTGTCGCAAATGTTTTGCTTCGTATACAGGGCAGAATCGGGCAGATCAGAGAGGGTTTCCTTCATCACATAGCGCTTTGGGACCGAGCTCCTCGATACCCGTGTTGATGGTTGGTTGGCGCGATAGAATTGTGCGACAGAAACTCCATACAGTGGGAGGTGGCTGACAATACTGATAACCAGGGTGCCTCCAGCAAGGTAAATGGTCACATGGATTGCGCCCGTGCCCTGCATGGCCACTGTAACGTCCCTGAAGTGAGCCTTCGAGAAGAAAGATTGTACATGCCATTGAGGACGACACTTCGGAATCAAAGGAAGTAGTGGCGGCGAAATTACCAGCTTGTGGTCGCAATGGTCTCCACGGATCTTGATGTCCTCTTTAGCATCGAATTGTGATCCACGGAGGCCAGTTGTGCCCTCGAGGCGGCCCAGCCAGTAATAACGGAAAGCAAGCCCACGGATCCGACGCATCTGCGGATAACGGCACCAACACTCGCAACATTCAACCTCAAGCTACATCCACGTCATACAACGACTTAGCCCGAATGATTCACTTTGATACATCAATACCACAGCATAGACGGGTGGCCTGGCACCTGTCGACAGGCCTTCATAGCTAGTAGATGGCAGGGCTGGATCCCCTCCCTATCTTTGACAAAGTGAGAGGACTTCACATCTAGCATAGCCCCTACACCGTAGAAACAATATCGCTGCTTTGAGAAAAAACGGCCTCGTGCAATTGAGAAAGTGTCTAACCCAGTATGGTCCGCCGATCTGAAGTGCTCTTACTGGTTATCATGGAATAATTCATGCTGTGTAACAAGATTCTCGAGTTGGTCGAGACTTGATAGGAGATATCTCCATGTCGACAGCTTGCGAGCTATCTGCACCTCAAGGCTCGGCATCAATGAAAACGAGTAAAGCGCCGGCATCGATAACTCTTTCCGGCGGCTGTGACCTGGGGTAAAGGCCTCGTAGAGACTTTGCCCTTACATTGTGCGAAAGTATAAGGATATGAAGTGCTTGACTCAGTGTTTACTCGTTCATTCTCGGGCTGTTTATCATGATGAAATTATGATCTGTATTCACAAATTTCAGTGGCCAAAATGGGTTTCTGCTAATCAGGACCTTTAGCGTTCTGGTCAGGCGCCCACTCTCTTCACTGAAGGAACGAGATCGTTGGGTGTGTCGGGTTGGCCGAATACCTTTTCCTTATGCGAAGTCTGCAGTAACCTGTTAGTTTGTTTTTTGTTTCATTTATTGTTTCATGTTTTCTTTCATTCTACAATTGCCTCATCTCCAGCTTGACTCTCTGCTCTTCATCTTCAAGAAGACATACATCAGTCATCTTACGACTTCTCTGCTTTCGCTTTTCGTCAGCAAGTGCATGCAGATTCTGCTGCTGGGTCAGCCTCAGCTCCGTCATGTCTTTGGCGGGCGTTATCGCTTCATCATATGCCGAAGTTGCAACCCACGCATCTTCATACTTTGATAAAGTATTGACATGATGGATGAATTTCTCCAGAGCATCAAACGCTGGTAGGCACACCCATGCGTGCTTTTTATCGCCAGATAGACCCACAGCGACTGGGCAATGGTCGGCAAATAGACTCAGGATGGGTTCCGCTGTGTTGAACATGGTAAATCCTTCTTTTCGAGATACCTTTGCAGCGTAGGGGAAGATTTCTTTCGGAGCAGGTCTGCGTCTCCAAATTCGTTTCTTAAGGGGATCTTTGCGATATGTCCTTGGATGAGAATTGTGGGAGGAGCATTGAATATGTAGTTCTTCGCCCTCTCGCAGTGACATTAGTCGAACCAGAAGTGCTGCTGCCTGCGTAGTGTCCGTAGCTGCGTTGTGCAGGAGCTTTGTGCTTTGCGAAGCTACATCCTGAAAGCCGCAGGCAACAAGTGTTTCGCGTAAGCTAGGATGAACAAGCTTGGCGTCCATTACGGCAACTCGAGCCGCGACTTCCTGCAGATCTAGCCAGTGCGTGAAGAAACGCAGTACTTTGGGGTAAAGACCTGAGAGAATGCAGAACTCAAAGCGGAGGCTGAAGCCGGCCAAGACGATGGGAGTTTGTCGAGATGGGTGTGAATGTTGCTGCGTGAATCGTTGAATTATATCAGAAATGCTTTTCTCAATCTCTTCATCTACAATTTCATACTTCTGACCGAACCGGTGAGGCTGGCGTCTCTTCTCTTGCCTATCTCTGCCGAGAACACGAAATCTGTGTGTCTCGATGCAATGTTCGGTGCTGAGATTGTCCAGAGTCCAAAGCATCGTCGAAGATGTGTTAGCATTTGTGATGAGATCAAGACTTGGTAAGAGAGACAGTCCAATTTCTGCTGGCTTGGAACTATCCGCTCCCCAAGGCTCGGCATCTACAAAAACGAATATGCCGCCGCTTGCGACAACCTGCCTTAACGAGTTGATGTCAAGGATGTACGATTCGTAAAGTTTTCGCCAATGTTTCGTTCGGAAACCGGTAGGATGGGGATTGAAAACCATAGCTTGGGCTTGTGCTTGCCTTTTCGGCTGGTTGGTGACAAGTCGGCGACAGTGGAGGGTTCGAAGTCGAAGTCGAAGGGTCGAGGGAGGGTACAAGCTCTTAAACCTGGTATGACTTGATGGTGGGGACCAACCTTGTTGGATGACTGCTTAGTAACCGAAAATCTACCCCCAGATGGTTGACCTTGAGGAGTCATTGGTGGCCTCTTGGTAATCAAAAACCAGCTGGTATCTTGTCTTGCGCTCATGGCCGACATGTAGTCTCATCTTCCTCTTCATGAATACCTTCTTGCCCTTTGATTCAACTGCAGGCAGACTTGCTAGCATGTGCGACATATCCCGTTGATTCACCCAACACTCGTGGTGTCCATCATCATCGAATACTCTAGTGAAGCCCCCCCTCAGACAGCAGGGTGGCTTATCCAACTGCTTGAGCACCATCCAGCTACTGTTGCTTGCCCAATGCCGGGACGAGCCTTCAGGTTCATCGCCATTCAGAACCCTGGAGAAGGTAGGGACCGCGCGTCGCTGCGACTCGCCCGGTCACACGCTGTATCTCAAGCTCTCGAGAAAAAAAGACAACTTGAGCAAAAGTCTGGCGCGAATTTTCGCGTAGTTTCTCCGAATGATGTAGTGAAGGGCCGGGCTGCAAGGCCCTCGAAGACTCTTCAAAACATTGTTTCTACGCCATATTGTTCATCTATAAACACCCTTGACGCATTTCAAATGCTGGTTGACGGGCTACCAACCCTACAGCGTCTGCTCAAGGTACATTGTAAGGAAATGCATCACACACGCCATGACGAATTGAGGCGCTGACTTCTCTGACACCAAAAAGATAGTTCCGCTTCAATGCATCCCGTGTTCGACGTAGCAGACGAGCTTGTGCTGCAGAACATATCATGTCTGCTTCGGAAGAGCCCGGATAACCCAGCTCTTCTCTATGCGGTCAGGCTCAATTTTGCGTGTGCGGTCACTTCTAGCAACATGAACCGAAAGTGTCTCGAGTATAAGGACCAAACTCTGAGCTCCTTGCGGCAGAGTATGGGCTCTCTTGATTCTGCCATATCAGAATCAACTCTCGGGGCCATTCTGCTACTAGCAGGAGCAGAGGTAGCCTCTCGTCCGCTTCTCGTCTCATGAACACTGTAAAGGCTAACGGATACGTGACAGGCTCGGCGTGGACTGCCATGCCAAGTCCAAATACACATGGGCGCAATCCGGAATCTGCTTGAAGCTTGCCTTAAACAGGGCATCGTCCTGAGTGATAACCTCAAGCGTGCCATTTTCTGGTAAGAATTTCCAGGCTAATTGTCGAATAAGTCTGACGCCCAAAGATAGGCAAGATCTCAATTCTTCAGTAATGACAGGCTCGAGCCGAACATTTCATCATCAATCCTTCCCCGAGCTCTCCTGGAGCAGAGACAAGACATCTTCAACTTCCTTCAAGTTACCGCCTGGGTTTCAGGTGTTGTCATCAGTACTGGGACACACGTTTCTCGAGATCATGGAGGATGTCCATGCTCTTCAGCAAATCCGAGACACGAATCTCTTTGGCCCAGAAGACGCCGTGTCCATGGCCAATGTCGACAACCACCAGGCGTCAATTCAGTCACGCATCGTAGACTTGGAGGCCGCGTCTTCGATATCGGACTGTTGCCATGTCGGGGCTTATCTATGCTCTACGATGCTGCGGTGCAAAAGGTGGCGTGCCTCAGTCGTGCCGGTAAGCATGTTCCGTCCATCTTCAACTTTAGTAAACACCTTGATGACTGGCTCACTGGGTTTGTAGCTTCACTTGTCGCTCCGACTACTCTACAAGCTACAAAAAACAGACACCGAGCCCGGGTGGGACGAGCACCGAGAGCTGCTGACCTGGCTGCTGCACATCGGTGGGGCATTCGCTCCAGCCGGGACGACGCGCTCGGAATATCTGGAGTTACTGAAACGCAACCTTGAGGGCAGACTGCGAGGCTTGTACACATCATGGCCCGAGCTGCTTGGCATTCTCGAAAAGTTTATCTGGTCTGACAAAGCGTTTTTGGCGCAGGTTCAGGCGTTTTGGAATGAAGTCTACATTCAGCCTGAGCCGGACAGCTACCTCCGAAGCTGACGCTGAGATCGGCGCCTGCTATCGCTCGTTGGATCCTCATGATCCAGTTACTACAGGCTGGGGCTGAGTGGACCCGAACAGGTCTCAAGTTGCGAGGCATCGAACGTGCATTTCCCTGGCAGCTTGGCCTAAAGCCCTGGGAAACACCAGAGCTTGGGGCCAGTGCTTGGGACTTTGGTCAGGCGGATGATCCTTGGCCAGGTTCTTAGGCATGCAGGAGTGGCGCTGGACGCAGTACTTCAGATTGCCTACTTTTCCACCACGTTCAAGTTTCATGCACCATCCTCGGACAATATGTAAGATGATTGGTTCTGCTGCCTCAACCCATGCTATGGCATTCATCACCAGCCATCGTGAAGTCAACATAAAGAGTCGCGAAGGTCCTGCTCAGATATCTGAGTTTGAATCCTGGCCAGGCTCTCCATCGCACTCGATTCTATAGCCAGCACACCTTTCAACCATGGCCCAAGAATTGACCATCAAGAACTGGGACCCGCTTGAGGGAACGCCCGATTTGACGGGCAAAGTCGCATTCATCACCGGCGGCAAGTAAGGAACACCTCCCCAGGCCCTCGACCAGAACCTCGAATGCTAACCACCCGCACATGCAGCTGCGGCCTAGGCCTCATGACCGTCAAGTTCCTCGCCCTGCGCGGCGCGAAAGTCTATCTCGGGACCCGCGACGAGGGCCGCACGCAGACCGCCATGTCCGCATTGCTGGCGCAAAATGGCGCCATCAAGGCGGCGCAGCTGCACCAGATCCATCTCGACTTGGCCGACGTCACGACCGCAGTCCGCGCCGCAGACGCCTTCAAGGAGAAGGAGTCGAGGCTCGACATTCTAAGTCGGTCCATCCCGGGCCCATGGCAGCCGTAGCAAGGTGACGGCGCTGACGCTGGTGGCCCAACAGTTCACATGGCCGCGGCGACGGGGAACCCACGCCGTACGAAGGATGCATGGGAGTCGCACATTGCCGGCGAGTAAGCAGCGTCCACACACAGCCAGCCCCAGCTTCATCCTCGAGGTTGACCACCGTTCCAGTTTCGCATTCCACTTCCTCCTGACGAACCAGCTCCTCCCCCTCCTCAAAGCCACGGCCCGTCTGCCGGGGACAGACGTCCGCATCGTCGGCCTCACCTCGGGCGCCGCATCCAGCTTCCTGCCCGCGGGCTACAAGCCGAACTTCACGTCCGGCGACGTCCTCGCCGACCCGGCCCCGTACTACCCCTGGGCCTGGCGCTGGCTCACGAGCAGGGTCTTCGTGCTCGACATGATCCTCTACTCCATCGGCAAGATTGCCGGCACGGGGTTCATCCGGGCACTGCAGCGTCGGCTCGACGAGGAAGGGGTGCCGGTGCTCTGCACGTCGATCCATCCCGGCGAGGTGCGTACCGATAAGACGGTTGGGTCGATGGTGCCGTGGCTCGCGTCGCTTGTGGACGGCAACTTCTTGTCGTTGGAGGAGGGGTCTGGGCACACTGTTTTCGCGGCGGCGGCGCCGCAGGTCAGAGAGGAGGAGGCAAAGTACAAGGGGCAGTATCTCATGCCGCTGGGCAAGGTTGCGAAGTTGCATCCGCTTGTGGAGAATGATGAGCAGATTCAGGGGCTGTGGCGGGACTCGGAGGCGGCCATCAACGAGGTATTGGCGGAGCAGGGACTGCACGAGATGTTGCCTTGGTAGATGGGCCGTTGATGTGGTTACGATGTTTACAGAAGTTTCCAATGCAATATTCACACAGCTAGCCAGACGACACGCAAATAAGAAGTTGCCAAAATTGGCCTCGGAACGTTTAAAGAGCGACAGTTTCGACGTTGTGCGTGTTACACGCTCAAGAGTGAGTGCTAGCCATCAGACATGTTCCAATCTTGTTCGGCGTGCACTAGCAAATGCGGACCGCGCGAACCAAGTGCGAGAGCATCTAGATCTCGTTCTCCTTCTTGCGGATGTCGTAGACGGCAATGATCTCCTCGGCAGCCTTGACACCAGACATGACCATGGCACTGTACCTGATTAGCCTCGAAGATCGCGCACACCAGGGTCAAATGAACTCACCCAAACGTAGGGCCCATGCGGTTGGCGCCGTCAACCTCACTCAGTTCCATACCGCCAATGATCAGGCCGGGAACGACCTCGCGGGTGCCCTTGACAATGGCATCTTCGGCACTGTTCATATCCAGACCACGCATGCCACCGAGCTTCTCAATGGCCTGCATGCTCACGAGGCGCTTGGCGCAGAAGGCGCCAAAGGGGCCGTCGTGACCGGTGGTGCTGAGGATGACGGGAGCGTTGATGGTGTTGGGGTCCATGCAGCTCTGGTCGCCGTGGTGCATGGCGACGAGGGTCCAGTTGGTGACGACACCAGCGACACGAATGGCGTCTCCGTCACGGCGAGTAATGAGGTCCTCGACGGTGGTAGCGTTGAACAGCTTCACGTTGGGGAAGGACAGGACACGTGACAAAAGGGTCGAGGTGAAGAGCGCAGCGTGCTTGACGACGACGTGGGTGCCCTCGTCCTCAAAGGGGACGCCGAGGTCGGCGAGGAACTTGTCGGCGGGCTTGCGCATGACCATGGCGCTGAAGAGCTGACCGCCGAGCCAAGCACCGCCGCCGGGAGCGACGCCAGCCTCGATAATGGCAATCTTCAGGTCGGGGCGCTGATTGGCGAGCGAGTAGGCGGCGGAGAGACCGCAGCTGCCAGCACCGACAATGACGACGTCAGACTCGGCGTAGGTGTCGAGGTCCTCGAAGTAGCGGCGGCCCATGGTGCGAGCGACCTGCGACTCGCGGATCGGCTCGAAGGCAAAGGCATCCCAGTTGCTGTTGGTCTTGGGGGCCACAGCAGGCTTGGTAATGCCGTTGCCGACGGAGACGCCGCCCTTGTGAGGGAGGACGGTGGGCTCAACAATCGAGGTAGCGGAGGGGGCCATTGTAGCTATAGGTGGGTTGAGGTATCAACTAGGTCGTGTTAGAGGTTCACACGATGGGGGGGACACAGGGGAGGCTGTGAGAGCATGATCCTTTCGCTGGTATTATCCAGATCAAGTTAGGCCGTATAATCTCAGAACAGGATTGCATTGTGTCTCAAGGTCGTCGACCATCTCCGCCCCGGGCCATTGAGAGTGTCAATGTCGAGGCGGGTGGATGGAAGAGCGGCCAAGAGATGCAAAACCCGAACACCGGCTCATTGCTCACAACAGATATCAAGGTACCTGATGATGATGAAGAACTTGAACGTTCGTCATGGCACGAGGCCACGACGCCTGACGGATAACCCTTGCGTGGCCATTGCTCTCTCTGCCGGTTTCGGCGAGAGGCGTACCGTCAAGGTGGACTGCGGACAAGGAGAGTATTAGTACAGGTGTGGAAGGAGGGGGGTTTAAGGGGGCAGTGCTGAAGAGCTTGCTCTGCGTACGATGTATGTAGTAGTAGGTGGTCTGGTACTGTTTCCGAGGCTCAGGAGATGGAATCTGATGATATCGAAGGTTTGAAAAGAGAAGGAGGAGGGCGGCCGTCGGATGTCTTTCAAGGGCGGCAGGTCTTTATATCCGGGTCATGGCCGGTAGGAGCCCCCCGCTCGGCTGCAGCAAGAAGGGAGCGGGGAAGACTGAGGCGAGGGAGGAAGTCTGTTTCGTGGAACACGGCATCGTGACGGAATGCGTGATTAATGGGAAGCAACGGTGGATCTGACGGGCCAAACGGATGGTTGAGTGCGTCTTATCGCTCGTCGTTGTCTGGGCTCTTGTTGGTGGTGGTGGTCGAGACGGAGGCGGTTGACGCGGGGTGTTTGGTGTTTGGAGGGGCAGAGGTGGTTGCATGGGGGAGAGAAGCTTGGAGGGGCTCGGTGCTTTGGGGTGGTGGCCTTTGTAGTGCCATTGGCCAATGGCACAAGGATCGATGACCTGCGGCAGGGGACGACACCACCTTAACACCACCTTGACCACCCACCATTTCTTCCATTTCAACCGAAACTCCACTGGAGAGTGTCATTCTCTCGGCTTGAGCCGGACACTGAGGTCCTGGCGTGCCGCATTGGTGGAAAGAAGGTTCACGGTGGCATGGGCGAGCGTGAATTATTGTTGTGTCTGATGCTAGCTTCTTCAACAGGTTCATGCACTCATACCCATTTGCAGCTGATACACCGAGATTACCTGTTGTGACTGACCTGTTTGTCTTGTCCAGAGACGACTTTCAATATCAAGGTAGGCAGCACCTTGCTGAGTACCCAGCCGCGGGGATTCATAGCACTCACAGCTTAGGCCTGAAGCGAGCGCTTTCAGAAGCATGTGGCGTTCCGAAAGACCCCTAAAATCAAGGTGCCACTGGGTCTGCGTGGGGGGCCAAGAGCCCCTCTCAGAACCCCTCCTTTTTGGCGTCTTGCGCGTCTACCGTGGAGACGACGCGTCTGATGCGTCGGAACCGCGATCGACCAAAGACATGTCTCCATGATCATTTGCCGATGGACAGTCTTCCCCACGACAATCTCGATATCATGCAGTTTTCAGACCCTGTCATTCGACAAGGTACCCCCTTCGAATACACTCCCGGAGCACCTCGTCCGCCTCCTCGCTGCCAGGCATGTGACACTGCCAGCGACAGCCTTCAACGATGTGCCGGCTGTACAGCCGTCCTCTACTGCAGCAAGCCGTGCCAGACGTCACAGTGGTCCTCGCACAAGACCACCTGCAAGCTCGTCAGGGCCCGTCGCAAGGCGTGCGCAGACGCCGAAGACGACCTCCGCAATGCCGAGCCCGACCCTTTCACGCCGCCCAACGTCTTCGAGACCGCCGTCGGCCACTTCTACGCCATGCCAGAGACGCGGCCCTACATGCGGGCTCGCTACGTGCTGGCGCAGACACTCAACCATCTGGACACCGTGCCCAGTCTCGAGGAGGCGCTCGACCACGGTCTGGACATGCTGCGTCTCGACCGCAGCGACGAGCTCGGCATGCGCCACCAACTGGCCCCCGTCATGTTGCGCCTCGGCCGAGAGCAGGAGGCGTATGACTTTGTCAAGTGGTGGGTCGCCCACGCGGACGACGAGCGCCATCTCAAAGACATGCCCGACTCTCCGTTTCTCGACCTCGAGAATGCCAATGCCCTTGAGCCCGTCGACCTCTTTGTGCGCCGGAAGGCGGCTGGGACGTTTGAGCTTCACTCGTTGGCCCTGATCAAGATTCGCCTGCTGCTTGCACTGCAAAGCACTGAAAAGGCTGTGGCCGGCGCGGAAGGTTGCACAGTCCAGGACAAGATCGCTGTCCTTGCAGCGGCACTTCACAGCAGCGCCATTACTCGCCATGCTGACGCTCTGCTGATTCTGGCTGAGGACCCGAAGCCCGTTGTTGACGAGCTTGCGAGACAGGTCCGCGAGGTGGTGACCGCCGTGCACCAGGCCAATAAATACCTGCTGGAGACGATGGCAGAGCCTGATGCTGACCCTGGCACAGCCATAGCATCGTATGCAGAAGGTTCCAGGGAAGAGGCGCACGCTGTGAGAAGTTACTCACTCCGAGCATGGAAGGGTACGCCTGGTGCTCTGGAGCTACTGGCATCCCTGCATTGAGAAGCACGTCTTCTTCCTGCCTAACTTCTCAAGACAGATAGGTGCCTGGTGATTTCTCCTTTGCCAACATGTCCGGTCAATCACTTCCAGAGCAAAGGCAAAAATGGTCATGAAATGTGGAGTCATCTCGGAACAATCAGAACAACACAAACACGAGGTATCTTGAGAGTTAAAACGGTACACTACGCAAAACACCAAACCACGTCAAAGACGCTCGAAAGCAGCCATGATGGCCTTCTCGGTCCACGTCTGATACGTCCTCGCGATCCACTTGGGCTGCTTCCACCACAGCCAGACGGCGCCGACGATGAACGGGCTGCAGACGAGCGCCTCAAAGACGGACACGAGGACCTCGCCCTGGTGCTCGCTCTGCGCCACGACCTCGGAGTAGCGCTGGTTCTCGAAGCTGACGCGCGAGTACTTGGTCTGCCAGCCGAGGCCCGGCAGGTAGACAGACATCATCTCCTCGAGCCACTTGCGCAGGCGGTACTTGGGCGAGAGCACCGACGCGCGCATCTCGACGTAGTTTTGCAGCGCCAGGTCGTTGATGGCGTGCGCGTCGGGCACGCGGTTCGTCGTGTACTCGGCGAGGGCCACCTTGCGACCGTAGGCGGCGGCGGCAGAGGCGGAGGCGCTGGCGGCGTCGTCGTCGTCGTCAGCGAGGGGGCTGTTTGACTCGGCTTCGGCGTGCTTGTCGAGAATGGAGAAGAGGACACGAACGTCCTCGAGGCCGGCGTTCATGCCTTGGCCGTAGAAGGGGACCATGGCATGCGCGGCGTCGCCGAGAATCACGGCCGAGGACTTGTAGTGGTACGGGCTGCATTTGACGCTGATGAGCGGGAGGTGGGGATTCCTCTCGAAGGACTCGATGAGCTCTCTGCCAGGGATGAGCTCCGTGACGCCGGGGAAGTGCTTGTCGAAGAATTCAGGGATACTAGCGGGGTTCTTCTCGAGAGCGAATGTTTGCGCGCTGGGCAGGAAGAGCGTGCAAGTGAAGGATCCGTCCTGTAGCATGTTAGCCCGAAAGTTCCAAGTCGAATCTGGGAGTTTGACGCACATCGCTGGGGATGGCAATGAACATGAAGTCCTTGCCGGGCCAGATGTGGAGATGATTTGGCGATATCCTAAAGACGGCATTCGGGTTCTCATCCGAGCGGACCTTGACAGGCTTGATGTGGAATTCGCACCACAGCGTGCCGATGTAGTCTTGTCGGTAGTTCAGCTGCGCAAACTTCATCATGTGGTACCGGACGGCCGAGTGGGCGCCGTCAGCGCCGATCATGAGGTCAAAGTCGATTTCAATCTCCCTCGCCCTGCCGGTGGCCGACTCGGACGTCATGACCTCGAACCATGCCTTGCGCTTCTTGAAATCGGCACCTGTGAGTTTGTGGCTGAAGAAGAACTTGACATTGGGCATGTCTTCAAGAATATCGAGGAGCCGCTTGTTGAGGCCAGCTCGGTCGACAGCGAAAATAGTCTGCTTTGGGTCAGTTTGGCTGAATCTAGGGCATTTTCCATGTAGATAACGTACACGTCCATGAATATCGTAATCCTGTGCAGCTTCGTAAAGGTCACCATTTGAACCACGGCCGTGGATCATGCGGCCGCGCATGGGAATGGTTGCACCAAACACGTGCTCCAGCAACCTTGGCTGGCCAGCGTGCCGCATAGCATTGATGCCACGCTCTGACAGAGCAAGGTTGATGGAGCGGGTGAAATTGAGCAGTGTCGTTGTAGGATCTCGCAAGTCTAAGGATCATTGTCAGTTGTGCGATCAAGTCAGAGAGCAGCTCCGGCAGCCATCTTGACTTCGTAGGGTAACGAAAGACCCTTCAACTCAGAGGGACGAGGATGCGATGTAGCAGGACAGAATGAAAAGCAATTGGAAATCTGCAAGGCTGATTCGAAACGCGCCGATCACTATCGACGGTATCAAGCACTCGAGCAAACATGCAGACAGATTTTGCGGCAATTGTGACGATGACGGCTCCGTCACGCGACAAAAACGCATACTCAGCCATGACAACTCTAGAGCCAATGGGACTTACCGGGCCTCAGTTCATAAATCTCTACATCATGGCCTCGCTTAGCCGCGTAGAGCGCTGCCAGAGAGCCAACAGGGCCGGCGCCGACGACGACAAACTTCTGCTTCAGGACCATGCTGACAACAGTTGACAACAGGTCAGCGAGCGACTGACGGCGACAAAAGGGAGTTGTCGATGAGAGAGAAATGCATGATTCACTCGCAGAGTCGGATGTTTTGGCTGGCGACCTAGACTCTGCTTGGACGGGCTTTCGAGCGATACCGCCGTTGCCGGTTAATCACGACGCTTAGATAAGATGGTTTCCATTTGCTGGGGAGCTCTTTCCACCAGCAGGCGCTCACTCCCGATGAGACACTCACTAGGAGGCACTCCCTAGGACGTACAGTACTCCCTGGGGCACTGAGGCCATCCGGCGACTTGCGGTTCTGATGACTAAAGCTCGCGACGGCCTGCCGAGGGGTGGGGTGCTGGCCGTGCCTATCACCTATCACACCAAACAGCACCAGCGACGACTTTTTGGAAACGGCATTCAGAGTCGAACCGCGAAATCCTGCCACCTGCGACTGTCGCGAATTCTTTCCCCGCCGTCCTGGAAATCGCAGAGTATTTTTTTTCTACCCTCTTTTGGTGGTTCTACAAGTGGTTCGACCTAGTTCATCCACCTGCCAACTGCTCAAACGCCTCTCGAGAATCGTCATCTTCACCCCGCCCCTCGCAACAAAATCATCCCGCCACCATGGCTGAAGAACCCCCCGCGAAGCGCAAGTGCATGGGCGAGGACTGCTCCAACGATGCCGGCTCTTTGCAATGTCCAACGTGCCTGAAGGTCGGCATCAAGGACAGCTTCTTCTGCTCGCAGGACTGCTTCAAGAAGAACTGGGTGAGCTCGCGATCGCCGCCTGCGCTGATCGCCCGACACACTGCTGACAGTCTCCAAGGGAACCCACAAGAGCATGCACAAGTCGCAGACAAGTATACTCCACCACATCCTCCCGCCGAGCGTAGTCTCTAAACCTGACCCAGAGACCGGTTACTTCAACCCCTTCCCGACCTACCCTTACACCGGCTCCCTGCGCCCCGTCTACCCCCTCTCCGCAAAGCGCACCGTCCCGAAACACATCCCGCACCCCGACTGGTCTGAGGATGGTATCCCCAAGTACAGCAGGTCCATCATCAACAGGAACAAGGCGGAGATTCTCGATGCCAAGGGCATTGCCGCCATGCGCAAGGTGTGCCGGTTGTCGCGCGAGGTCCTCGACATTGCGGCTGCCGCGATCAAGCCTGGCGTGACAACCGACTACATCGACGAGGTCGTCCACAAGGCGTGCATTGAAAGAGACGTGGGTACAAGGATCGGACGGTACAATACAAAAAGAGTTGCTGACCCTCCATGGCCAGGCTTACCCTTCGCCGCTCAACTACAACCACTTCCCCAAGTCCGTCTGCACGTCGCCCAACGAGGTCATCTGCCACGGCATTCCCGACCAGCGCCTTCTGATGGACGGCGATATCCTCAACATTGACGTGTCACTCTTCCACGGCGGCTACCATGGCGATCTGAACGAGACATACTACGTCGGCGACAGGGCCAAGGCGGACCCGGATGCGGTCAGGGTTGTCGAGACGGCGCGCGAGTGCCTCGATCTTTCCATCGCCGCCGTCAAGCCAGGCACCCTGATCCGCGAGTTTGGCAACATCATCGAGAAGCACGCCAAGGCGAAGAACTGCAGCGTCATTCGCACATACTGTGGCCACGGCATCAACAAGCTCTTCCACGGTCCGCCCAACGTGCCTCACTACGCCAAGAACAAGGCGGTGGGCGAGTGCAAGCCCGGCATGACGTTTACGATTGAGCCCATGATTGCGCTTGGCAAGTACCGCGATGTGACCTGGCCCGACAACTGGACGAGCACGACTATTGACGGCAAGAGAACGGCGCAGTTTGGTAAGTCACATCATGGTCAGAACAGACATTACACAGCCGTGCTGACACGTCGGAACAGAACACACCCTGCTCGTGACGGAAGACGGAGTCGAGGTCTTGACAGCCAGGACTGCGGACTCGCCCGGTGGACCCATCCCGATGCCCGAAGTCGCGGCAAATGGAAGCGCATAGTGATTCGATGCCGGTGGGCGAGCATGGATGAGGGCGTTTAGGGAGCATAGACAGCGAGCTGCGTGGCAGCAGGTGGGAGAAGAGTTTTGTTCCGATCTAAGCCCTTGGCTGGCATATGGTCAGGCACCAGGCAGGCGTCGATGCCGACGTGAGCATGTGGACATGTGCCTCTTATCTGGCCTCGGTGACGTGACGACTGAGCTGTCAATCAGGCTGGGGGGGGGATCACCCAGCCACCTGCGTGATGATGAATCCCTTCTACTAGCTAGCCCTCTTGCACCCTGTGGTCGGGTGCTCCAGGATTGCCCCTCTCCCCTGCTCGCCCAACCACCCGCAGGGGACCAGCACACCTTGCACCAACCGAGCGGGCTCCCTGGCGGATGCACGGTACAGGGGAGTCCCGGGTGGCCAGAGCGCCCCAAGGAGTCCCCGAAAACAGTGGTTGTAGCGCGCCTCCGCAAGCGAACAGTTGCTGATGGGCTGGATTGGCCGCCGCGCGATTAAAATTCGGTGTCCACCGAACCGGCCACCGACCACCGGCGACTGGCCAGGGCCACTCCACACGCCAGCCAGCTCCAGCACCCAGCACCCAGCACCCAGCACCCAGCACCCAGCACCCAGCACCCAGCACCCAGCAGCGCCCATCACACCAGCGTGCCCCGGGGAGGAGGGACCAGGCAAGGCCATCGAGCCGCCTCCGGGTCCAGGTCTTTCATCATTCATCATCAGCCGTCTCGCCCCAGTTCCCCCGATTTCCACTGCCCACCTCTCAATTTTCCCACCATCAACACCACGTTCGACTTTGCGATCTCACAACCTGTTCACTTGGCTCTTCCAGGCAACAGGATCCGTCGCAGAACCCGACTCGTCTTGAGAAGTATCATCCTCGGACCTCTTCCCTCTCCGACCCTCGAGCTCTGTCCGCACACGGCAGCTACCAGCAGCTCCCCTCCCCCAACCGCCACCGATCTCGACAGTGTTCGAGTAGTGACCTTGGTTCCCCCTTGACACACACCAGCAACACAAACGACTTCTTTGTTCGACAGAACTACCAACCGTCAAAATGTCCGGCGAGGCGTGGTTATACCTCTTTGCGGTGTTGATCAACGCCGTCAACCTGTTCCTTCAAGTCTTCTTCACCATCATGTACAGCGATCTGGAATGGTACGCGCCCTCCTCCTTGCTGCTGCGCCTGACGTCTCGCCACAGCAGCGCCCTCTCCTCCCAGGGCTGAACCATGGCTAACCTTGTGGCACGCGCAGCGACTACATCAACCCCATCGACCTCTGCAACCGCCTGAACACCTACATCATCCCCGAGGCTGCCGTCCATGGTTTCATGACGTTCCTCTTCCTCATCAACGGATACTGGCTGCCTCTGATCCTCAACCTTCCCCTCCTTGCGTGGAATGTCAAGAAGTACGACTGCCCCTGCCCTTGGCGCGAAGAATTCTTACTGACGCTGTGACAGGATCGCTGAGAACACCCACCTGCTGGACGCCACCGAGATCTTCAGGAAGCTGAACGTGCACAAGAAGGTGAACTCTTCCAGGACGAGCGCACTCAACCGGACACAGACTGACTCGCTGCGCAGGAATCCTTCGTCAAGCTTGGTTTCCACCTTTTGCTCTTCTTCTTCTACCTCTACAGCATGATTGTCGCTCTCATCCGAGACGACACCAAATAAGCGCCCTGCGCTTTCCAGCATCGACGCAGACGGCCTTCGGCACACAGCGCGACATTCTCGCGGCACGATACGAAACCGGACGAGACGATGGACGAACGACTAGCCCCTAGATGCGCTTGAGAGGGCTACTTTCGAGGGTGCGCTAGGCAAAGGCGTACCGGGCAACCGGACTAGACACGGTCATGATACCAGCAGGAAAGGGGGCGGAGCGGCGGTGTTTGTGATATGGGGTAACGTCTGACAACACCGACGAGACGGCGACCAAAAAAAAGGAATAGAGGTGTGCATGGACTACACAGGTCCAGCCCCCTCTACTACGCGGTCGATGACGAGGTGCTCAGGTTTACATGTGAGACTCATTCAGTTGTTTGGGAATTGGGAGGTTATGATGCGAAGACCAATACCTTTGTATCTGTTTTCTGTTGCTTGCAGGCAGGTTTCCAGCCTGAAGCCGGGGGCGCGTGGCATAGGATTGAGTAATGACAACCATCTTGACAAACAGTGATCCCTCTTTAATTGTGTGAGCATTGCCGTGACAGGTAGCATACCGCGTGCTGCCTCGTATTCTCCATCCATCGCCAGCTCCCGTCGAATCCTGTTCTGTGGCCGCCAAGTGGAGACGTTCGAGCTTGAATCTCATTTGCGATCACGTGACCTCCTGTTTCCTACGTCACGTCAAACCTCTGCCAACCGCGACAGAGGACGAAACATTTTGTAACCTGCCCTCCCCCCTGCCTAATCGCCCAAACGACAGACTTCACGTGCCGCCATCCCCTCACGACAGGTCGCCCAAAATGTCCGGCTTCGGAGACTACCCGCCGAACATGGCGCCCCAGGATGCGCTGATCGTACGACGAGAAGCCGAGGCCGACCACGCCGTCGTCCCCTACTCGGGCGAGGACCTCGCGCGACCACGGATGGGCCCCGCAAACCCCTTCAAGGACGAGAGCGCCAACAACGCCCTCAAGCGGAAGAACGTCCTCACGGGCTTCGCCGAGGAGACGCACGTGTCGGAGCACACCTTCCGCAGCAAGCACCGCGCCATCGAACGCAAGGGCGGGCCGGAACGGGAATACCAGAGCGGCGCACAGGTGAAGCAGGAGGCCGAGAGGATACGCGCGGGCCGTGAGGGCAAGGGCGACGCGGCGATCGCCGAGGGCGACGGCGCCTACGTCGGGCCCTGGGCGCGGTACAAGCGGGCCGAGTACGAGATTGTGGGCGAGGGCGAGGCGCTCGCGAGCGACGAGGAGTACGAGGAGGTGACGGACGAGGACGACGTCGTCGAGAGCGGCACCGTCCTGCAGGCGCCCGAGTCGGCTCTCGCGCGCCGCAAGGAGGTCGAGGCGCTCGGCGAGGAGACGACGACGTTCCATGGGGCCGCCGAGCGCGACTACCAGGGCCGGACCTACATGCACGTGCCCCAGGACCTGGACGTCGACCTGCGCAAGGACGTCGGCAGCATCACCAACTTTATCCCGAAGCGGCAGATCCACGTCTGGAAGGACCACGCCAAGGCCGTCACGGCGACGCGCTTCTTCCCCGAGTCGGGCCACCTGCTCCTCTCGGCCTCGGCGGACTCGACGGTCAAGATATGGGACGTGTACCACCAGCGGGAGCTCCTGCGGACGTATTCCGGGCACACAAAGGCCATTTCGGACGCGACGTTCAACTTTGACGGTACGCAGTTTCTGTCGGCGAGTTTTGACCGGCAGATCAAGCTCTGGGACACGGAGACGGGCACCTGTATCAGCCGGTTCTCGACGGGCAAGACGCCCCACGTGGTGCGCTTCAACCCGACGGCCGAGCACGCGCACGAGTTTGTCGCCGGCATGTCGGACAAGAAGATTGTGCAGTGGGACACGAGGGCGGGCAACGAAATCGTCCAGGAATACGGTGCGTCTTTTTTATATATAAATTCCTTCACCTTGGTGAACCCCCCCCCCCCCCCCCCCCCAAAAATAACCGCTGACAGACCACCACTTGGCCGCCATCAACACCATCACGTTCGTCGACGAGGGCCGCCGCTTCATGACAACGTCGGACGACAAGTCGCTGCGCGCGTGGGACTACAACATTCCCGTGCCGATCAAGTACATCGCCGAGCCGTACATGTACCCGATGACGCGGGCGGCGCCGCACCCGAGCGGCAAGTACGTCGCGTACCAGAGCTCGGACAACCAGATTGTCGTCTACGGCGCCAACGACAAGTTCCGCCAGAACCGCAAAAAGTCGTATCGCGGCCACAACAATGCCGGCACGGCCATCGACGTGGCCGTCAGCCACGACGGGCAGTTCCTCGCGTCGGGCGACACGCTCGGCTTCGTCGCCTTTTGGGACTGGAAGACGTGCAAGATGTACCACAAGCTCAAGGCCGGCGACGAGGCTGTCACGTGCGTCGCGTGGCACCCGCAGGAGTCGAGCAAGTTTGTGTCGGCCGGCATGGACGGGCTTATCAGGTACTGGGATTAGGGTCTGGGTTGTTGTGTACTATTGGCATGGTAGCATTGTTGGGCGTTTGGCGTGGCTTTGTAAAAACAGGGTGGCAGTTCAGAATCCTCCCAATTGATATCCTTCGCCTTTTCTTGCTTGCTGCGTTGCGGGATTCGCTAGTGGATGCTGGATTGCCTGCTCAAGTACGAGGTCTGAAAGGGGTTTTTTTTTTTGGTCTCTCCGTCTGTTGGCCTCATTCGCAGCAGAGTGGAATAGCTGAAGTTTCGTTCAATGAGACCTCCAACCTTGGAATAGACTCCAAGTCTTATCTAGCAGCGATCTGTCAAGAAGGCTCACATCACTTCCCGTTATCCGCCTTGGACTTCACGGGCCGAAATACCATGAGGTCAACCAGCGAGTACGCAATCTCAGCAGCAGCAAGCACGGTAATCTCGCCATTCGTGTCATACGCCGGGGCCACTTCAACGACATCCGCACCCACAACAGGCAAGCCCTCAAGCCCGTCCAGGATCGCCAGCAGCTCGCGCGTAGACCAGCCGCCAGATTCAGCCGTACCTGTCCCTGCCCAGCGTCAGTCTCGCCGTTTCTCCTACCATCTCACCCAGCATCTCGACAGGGGCGGGGAAGAGAGGGCAGGAGCGTACCTGGCGCAAAGGCCGGATCAAGGACATGGATATCGACGCTGATGTACACCAACGAATCGCCAACGCGTTCGCGGATCCTCGAAACGACGCCCTGGACGCCGAGCGCGTCAATGTCCCGCGCCGTGACCACGGCGAAGCCGCAGCGCGCGTCGTTGCGGAGATCGCCCTTTCGGCGCACCAGCGGCGCGCGGACGCCGGCGTGGACGGACGAGTTGAGGATGAGGCGCTCCTCGTGGGCCACGTGCAGGAAGGTGCCGTGGTTGAGGGCGGCGTAGTCGGATATGTCGCCGCCGAGGACGGCCGGGTCCCAGGTGTCGATGTGGCTGTCAAAATGGATGACGGAGACGGGGCCCCAGCGGGCCGAGGTCGAGCGCAGGGCGGACAGGGTCGTGGTGTGGTCGCCGCCGAGCGTGAGGATGCGCGGCGTCGCCGAGACGGAGGCGTTGGCGGCGCGGCGGCCGGCGAGGACCTCGTGGGCCTTGTCGAGGCGCTGGAGGGAGACGCGGCTGTCGAGCCAGGTGAGGTGGGCGTCGCCGCAGTCGACTACCGTGGCCCAGGCGGCGAGGGGGTTGCGGCCTTTGGGGCTTGTTAGCATCGAGGGAGGTCCGGTGTGGGAGGGAGGGGAGTGTACCAGTGTAGATGCTCCATTCGGGTCCCTTGCGCTGGCTGCCGGTTCTGATACCAGACGGGCCATAGCGAGCGCCTGGCCGGCCT